TATATATATATATATATATATATATAGTGAGAGACCCAAAGGCAAATTATGAGCTGCGCTTGACTTGGGAAGGGAAGCTGGTGTCTTTGGTTTTGTTGCCCCTGCTGTTTTTGTTGTTGTTGTTGTGAAAGGTGGAAAAACTGTTGCCAATCCAACAAGAACAGTAGGCAGCAGCACTTATTTATTTAATCCATTGATTCACCTTCCGTCACAACTACTGTAGTGTCGTCTCTCAACGCGCAGATTGCAGCAACTGACATCCGCCCCAAAGCAAGGGAGTTGAACACCCCGTCTGCCTCCCGCACATTTATTCGGCGAGTCACCTGCATTCATGGCCATTAGAACCAGGGTCGTTGTTGCAGCAGCACCTTAAGGTGTCACATGCATAATACTGAGTACGGGAATGAGTCTTTTGACAAACAGGAAAACGCAAGGCAAAAGTGCGCACACCCGCACCTTCTGCGCCTCACAGTCCACCAAATAGACATAAACGCCTCGGCCAATCAGCAAAGTGCTTCTGCCAGAGAAACACGCTCGGGAAGCCTCCAGATGGTGCCTACAGGAGGGCTCAGCGTCTCCTTTGTCAGGGCCAAAGCGGATTCCAAAGCTGCACGAACAGATAAACCCAGCCACACTACTAAGTGTAGCTCCACTGACTAATCAGAGCCCAGTCGCACAGTCTCATATTGTTCTACTAATTTTCAGCCAAAGCATGGGAGGAGCCTAAGCACGGTGTAATAAAGGTCCAAATACTGCACATTTGAACCATATTACGCATACCAGAACTCCACTTATTGTAGGAGCAGCTGCTCCTCTACCCTACCCGGCGCTCATACTGTAGCTTGCACAGCCCTCATATCGATGATAGTGGTGGGTGTCCTGATAAAGCTCATGATTTCAGGGTTCAGAATTGGGTAAAGGGAAGCAGAACTCGCTGGGGGAAAAACTTGCCATGACTTAGAGCAAAGCATCCACTTGTTTTCGGGAGCAACCTGTGAGTACGCGCCCACAGAACAGTAGCCGCCCGACAGGCACAGCGCGAACCGGATTCTGTTGTCCCCTGCTGGAGGCCCTGTAGCCTGTCGCTGCCCCACGAGGCAGTCCACCGCTGTGATGATCTTTTCAGCAGCTGAGGTGCCGAGAGCAGCAGAGCCACAGTTGCTGCCCCGTGTGTTGCAACTGTTGCTCCAAGGAGCGGCAGGCGGTTTCTGCAGCGAGAAGGTGGGTCCAAAACATGCTGTGAGTGCATTGGCTATTTTAGAGACACTCGCATGCTTTATTTCGGGAGAAGCGGGGTCTGCCTTGTCCTTGAACCTCAAATCGAGGATGAGCGACAAGAGCTCTCCTGAGGCTGTCGCTAGCAATGCATGGCGATCTGCAACAGTCCAGCGCAGTTCAACTAAGAAATGTTGTACGTTTTTCGCAGGCTTTTTGGTTTGTTCATTATTAGGTAATTGTGCGTATGTATGCGTGCTCGTTTGAATGTTTGCCGTGTGTTCGTTTAAAACTTGGTTTGCATGGTCGTTGGTTGGTTTCTCCATTTGCATGCTTATGTAACCACCTGACTGTTTGTTCTTGTGGCTGTGTTTTTAGTTATAACTGGCAGACACTGCTAAACCTGAGGCCATGGCCTTCAGTAAAGCTAGCTCCCTCACCGCCAAGGCATGCGATGGCCACAGGAGGGTCGTCGGTGGTAGCAAGCTGCAGGCGACCGACAATACGAAAGGCGTTTGTGTCGAAGAGCCGCAGGGACCCGTCTCTGAAACATCCCAAGAGCAGTGAGCGCCAGAGGAAGGCGAGTGCTGTGCAAGGATGGGGCAGCGAGAAGTCTGCCATCTGCTGCGGGAGAGGCCACCGACTCCACAGTCGGAGGGAGCCAGCAGAATCCGCTGTAGCGATCAAAGGCAGATCTCCTACTCCCTTTGCCTCTGCGTTCCTTAACAAGTGCTGCAAACGGCTGCTCTTGGGGGCTCCCGTGACAGTCCCGCTGGCCGCCACCTGAGAGACAATGCAAGCAACGCATTCCTCCAGCGTTAATCTATGTTCCATTGAGTTCCCCTGGCACAATGCTATGGCAGGCTATAGCACGGGATCAACTTCTTGTTGGGCGCCTACTTTATGTCTTTTGCACTTTGTTTTGGTCTCAAGCATTTTGTTGCCATTTAGCACACATACCTGGTGATAAGAAACTGCCAGCTGAGTAATGCAGCGGCTATGACTCGAGTGGAGACGCACTTTTGCGCGCTGGTCCCAGTGGATGTACCTGCAAATCGGGCGGCACACTTCCATCCTGTTAGGCCTTATTACCCTGTGTGTGGGGTACCTCGAGCCTATCTCAGGGCTTTGTGCGTATGGTTTAGGTAGAGGTTGTTATTTAGGGCTTGGGATTGAGTCTTGGGCCTTTAGTCCTTTATGGAATGTGCTTTGCCTCTCGCCTAGCGCAAACTGGCCCACCAAATGGTATTTGTTGCAGTAGTTGCGATTCCCTGAGTAGATGGCAAGGCATGTGCGAGCCCTTGTGTCCAGTTTGGGGATTCGCAGCTGGTGTCACAGCTGTGGTCCTCGCCCCTCAGCCCTAGCTTCCAAATATACTAACCTTCACACGTATAATCCTTACAGACTAAACCCTACTAGAGGATAAAGAAGGACAAACCTCTTGGGCCTCCGCGTCCAGCTGCAAACTTTTTATGGGGGCATCTAAGGCTAAGGGCTGCAGAGCAGCCTGTTGCCGTAAGTCCACCGACTGGGGTCCAAGTCCCTGTTGCCTGCGGCGACCTGCGCACTGTCAGTGTTTGTTGATAAACACTGATGGAGTCGTTTGCAACTCTAAATATAGTAACGTGTAGCATCTGGCTTAGTCAGTACAGATGTGAGTTGCAACCGAACGGAAAAAGGATCCGGAATATTATCTGGAAGCCTGATGATTTCTACTAGGAATAAAATCCTTTGTTTGAGACCCTTTCGAACTCACATCTCTAAAACTCGAATCAAATCCACGGTCGCCCGCCGAGTAAGCGATCCCGTGCTGTAAGTCAAGTACATCGCCTTGCCGCACGTAATTGAGCCTGTTAACATGCGATGCCAATACGAACGCCAATGCAGCGCGTGGTTTGTCAACATCACACATACAGGTGAAGGACGAGGTAAGCGATGTGCATCTTCTCACCAGTACTATATATAAATACTGAGCAAAGCTGAATGACTCTTGCTGGTTCAGTTGCTGTGTAAGTGCACTCCTATAGAACGGTGGAGGCCGGGGTGCCAATAGAAGCTGAGCGGAAGGAGGAACGGCTTAAGTGAGAGGGACCTCGACAAAATTCCACGTCTATTAAGGTAAATGGCACAAGAAGGAGAGTTGCCTAGTTGCATGCACTCATTTGTCTTCTGTGAAACGAGGACCAGTGTAAATGCACCAATAGGAAAGTCGCCAAGGAAGAGCTCGAAGACAAACACATTTGCCTCGTAGTCGTAGGCATACACCCAGCCCTGCAGGCAGCACAAATTGCAGACAGAGTGGCTCTCGTCTCCCGTCCTGTACATTCAGTTCACGCTTAGTTCTGCTTCAAACAAGACCTAGTCACAGGCCTTCCACCGCGAAAATGAAGTTTAGATCCTTTGGGTTTTGTCATGAGCTGGCGCATTTAAAATGAACCGTAGTGGACGGACGCGGTCAGATGCCACCAGCAGTAGGCGGGGGCTCCCCTTGGCTCGACGCGTGAGGCATGCGGTTGTGTAATTTTCAAGAGGGTCAACCAGCAACCGTTTGGCCTGTTTGGCGTGCTGAAACTGAAGCTGCAAGCCTTCTGATCCAAGCGTTCCTCCTGCAAGGCAGAGGAGAGAGAAGAGGAGAAAGAGAGCAAATCGCTACAGCAATCCCCCAAATCGTCCACGTCAGAACTGCCACTTCGTACGGCGGCTGCCAATTTATGCTTTGGATGCCGCCAGTCTAAGGGCACCACTACGTACTGTCTGCCTAGCGAAATAGCAGCAGTATGGCCGACCTACTTCTGCAGGCGTTTGCCAGGATGGAATCAACGGGAACAATCCTCCACAAGGTAACTGAGCGGGAGCTTACGAATACAACTTCCCTTTCATCGTTTGATGCAGCGGTCAACAGTTTGCGCAGCGGAGTGCCGACTTCTGCCCCCACTGCAGGACTTGAGAACTGCACTAGGCGGCCGAACACCGATAATTCATTTTTCTTCGAGCAGCAGCAGCTGCTGGTACAGCTACTGCTGCACTCAGGCCAGCATAAATTACCAGTGGCTGCAGCGGCTCCCGTTTGGCTTGCCTCAACAAGCTCCTCATCATTGCTTTGAGAGTTTCCCAAGTACTTTGACCGGGGCAGAAAGTCTGACACCCTCCACACATCTAGCCGACCGCTGTCAGCCCCTCCTGCAAGACCGACATGGACACTTCAACTTGCAGACCGTAAACGTCGACACCTCGGATCGATAGGGGATGTATGGTGTCGTTAAAACTTTAGTTAAAACTAAGAACAAACTACAGGCTGAAAAGTCACGAATTCTTTGTGAAGGCGGGCCTGCAGTCACGACCAGGTCGCTGCCACAAAATAAGACGCCTGGCAGATCTTCTACGTCGCGGTCTGGACCACCAAGAGTTGCTTTTCGCCCGTTCAAACGGAGGTTGTCAGCCTCTCCGTATGCAAGTGGCAGACGAACAGCCCCCAGTAGCTCGCCCCCTCCCTCCGCCCTCCACAAACACAACGCTAAACAACTGGGTGTCGGCACCCCCCACTCGCCAGTGTGGGCCGCAGTGGTGCTGCCACAACAAGAGCCACAGCTGTGCCTGCAATCATTGGTGCAGATACACCTTGCATGAGCAGTGAAGGACTCTGGAAAGCGAAGTACTGAAACAGAAACATGGCCGCACACAAATAGGCAAACCCCAGCAATGAATGCAACAAAGGGGCCATCCGGAGTACGTCAAAGACAAAGAAGGACGATGATGAAATTCATACTGCTAATGGTGGCTGCAAGCCGTGTTGTGGTATCGATGGCGAAGGCAATCGCATGTCCAACAACAGGATGTCTCAGGACGGAAATTCGTGGTGCCTGCGCCACTGTTGCGCATTGTTGAAGCAATTGCGCGCGTCGCTGTTGCCTCTGGAGAGCTAAAGATTTCCGCTTGGGAGAGTCTGCTGTTATTGGCTGCTGCTGCCCGCGCAGCTGCTGCGGTCGGCCCAACAAGGCTGGTAGCAAACCCAAACACTTCCCGTCCTGCAAGGCAGCAGGGGTAGACAGCCGCTCTACTAGCACCCAGCTACCAACCGCATGGGCCAGAACTCCTGAGAATTCAACGAAAATACTCATCAAAACACCACTAAGATGCTCTAAAAGTGGAGACCAAACGTTCAGCGTGCTTTTGGGTTTTACTGAGACAGTAGAGGGGACGGCGCACGCCTCTGTTCCTGGTGGGGCGGCAACAATCAGCTGAACCTCTCGAGTTACCCCCCTGACGATAGGTGGTACGGTGAAAGAGGCGATATGCAGCAGCTTCATTGTATTTGTGTGCGGACAGGCACCCTACCCTTTAAAGGCCTCCACAGGCAGCTGCTGCGGCAACTGGCCACTGCAGTGCCAACTACATGGCGGGCTGCAGCTCCTTCTGCTCTGGGGCCCCAACGACCATTCGGTTCCTGCGGCCCCTGTGACACTGACACCCTCTGCCCATTGCATATACTGGTCTCCAGCTGGATAGCTGCCCCTACAAATCCCGCGAAAACCTTCACGTTCGGCACATGACCTGCTGTCTTTGAAACTTCCACTTCAGTTCCAGACGGTTTGCTTTGCGATTGTACAACGTTTGTGCTTATTGTGTCAACTGCAGTAGTAGTTGAATTAGCATCGCATCCATCTTCCTGTGGGTACACAGCCGGAACGGCTATGCCCCCACCATTCATCTGCTGTTCTGGCGCCTGTGCCAGTGGGGACGAATTTGAAACCCCAGTGCAACCCTGAGTCTTGGCATCAGCCTGTGAAGCGGGGGCGCTGTCAGCGGCACGCACGCTAGTAGCAACTGCAATGGGAAAACTGTTTGTTTGACCAGGAACCAGACTCGGGTGCAGTGGGAAGCTGAAGGAAGGAACATGCGGCAGGGAAGCATCGTTTGATGAGCGAGAAATAGCCTTCAGCCCATCAGTGGTCTGTAATGCTCGTCGAGAACTCAGCACATGCTGTTTCAGAGGCTGAGGGTGAGCCCGCGGAGGCTGCTGCGGCTGCGGCAGCTTCCCTTGCTCGCAGCTTGTCTTATGTAAGCTCTCTTGTTGCTGCTGTACAAAATGGTCATCTACTGAAGCGGGGTCTGAGGCCGGTGAACACTCCTGCACGGCTGGCAACAGTGCTATGCTACCTGCAGGTGTTATGTCCGAAGCATCACGAAGAAGAGGGGATCCGACTCTCCATGTAATTGTTTCTGTGGCGCTAACAGAAACCAAATAGTCCCCAAAAAGCTGCACCATGAAGGGTGGCCTGTTGTGGCCTGCGAAAGACTGAAACTGTGGGAACTCAGCAGTGTGCCCTGCCGCCGCAAAGGCTTTTGTGCAATGATGCGCAGGCGATCCACAGCAATCATTATGGTTTACATATGTGTTCGAGACAGCCTCTGGGTCTTCTACTTCCCTCCTTTCATTACTTTCTTTCCGGGTTACTTCTTCGTTGCCCTGGGTTGCACTGGGTTTAGAAAGGTTCCATACCTGTACCAATAGTAGGGGACGCACAAGACGGCATCGGTGTTATACTGGTCACTTGGCGTTTCATGACCCATTAGTGCATTATAAGCCCCCCAAGTCTAATTGTTAAATCTGAGCGACGCACTTTAATCAGACTGTCTTCCCCACAAGTAACGCCAACGGAAGAAATGCCACTTTCCTCCGAACTTGCCGAGATCCAGGCAACGCTGATGGACCCACTAAGAAGTGCTATTTCTCGGCTTTGAATTAAGCTTGTGGCGTCTCCCTGCATGCATGATACAGCCTCAACAGCCCCCCTTATCGTTTACGTCCTATCACCGTAAACGAGCGCCAGATGCACGAAAAGGAGTCTGGTGTCTCTCTACAAAACTCATTTAACTCCCACCTGATTCACTGGCAGATACGGAGACAGCAGTGACATGAGCAGTCCCACGAGTCATTAGTAGGGTCGAAGGGCTGGGTCGAAGGACAGCTGACGGAATGTTTAGAGGTCTCACCTCGTTCTTAAAGGAAAACACGCGCATCCTGGAATCACTGCCGCATACGCATAGGGCATCTCCGGAAGCCGAGAAGGAGTAAGTGGTGATTATCACCGATTTGCAAGCTGTTTGAAAGGGGCAGACCTCTGCTTCGTAGCTGAACTTTGGAAGGCGAAGGAGTCCCAGCGTCCGAGGGGAAAAGTAACGAACGGCCTTAGATCCATCGCCGGAAAACACAAGAGGTGGAACGCCTTCTGGAGCCTTCTCAATTTGAGGACTTTCCAGTTTCCGAATCAATGCAAATTCGTGTAATTGAGAAAAAATGCAGATACCTAAACAGCATACAAACAAGCCTCCTCTTTAATTGAAGGCTTATATTCACCTGCCTGCGTACCACAGACACCGTACCGTCTTCAATATTGATGCACTATTGAACACGGCGCATTGGTGCTCCAATACAGTGTGCATTACATGAAGCCAAGTGGCGTCACATCTCATCAACAGCTCACATCCGGACCCATCAAGGGATATCACCAAAACGCCTTGCCCAGGTATTTCTTTTCTTGCTTTTAGAAGTAGTTCTCTGTGCCCAGTACTACTCGGTTGGTGATGGAACTCGTGAGGGGCAACGTGGCCAGCACAGGATTCCTCTAGATCCGTTGCAATTGCAGGGGAATTGACAAACCAAACGCCGATAATAGGATGGGTGTGGTGGTTCGCCTCCATCCAAACGGCAGGGCCCTCAACCGCCAGCACCCGCACAGCACCACTTTTGAACCCCAAGGCTAGAACACGCTGGGTTGGGTGAGCGGCCACACACAGAGGTGGGTCCTGTGGACTTTCCATCTCGAACGTCTGCGTACGTTCCGCGAATACCGCAGTAACAGCACAGAAAATGGTACTGAAAGCGCAGGCTTATGATACACACATCGGTTTCTAGTCCAGTGGAAGCCCCTTACAGATGCAGTGTTGAGGCGTCACGGCGAGCTGAGTGGCGAAAGGTTGTTGGGAAGGTAAAAATGTTCACCTGACTCAATTGAGGAAGAGTCCACACTCGCACGAGACCATCCTCACACACTGTATATAGCTCCCTCAAAGCCACTGAAAATGTGACGCACCAGTGCAGAAGGGAATAACTACAGTGTCAGAACAGGTGGCGCTGCCAACACAGAGGGCCTAAACAGACCAGGATAAATGCGGCAAAGGCAACAAGAAGCTGAGTAGACAACTCGCTGCTTAGCCTCCTCACAAAAAATACATACCGCTTGCTGAGGCATGAAGTACTCTGGCGGGATGGGCCCTGCTGACTTGTAGGTGTTGCTGCGTTGTGAGGTTCAGGAGCTCCACAGCGCTGTCTCCGCAAGTGCAAAGTATCTGTTGGCCATCGGGCGCAGTGTCAATTCCCACACATTCCGAACTGTGGACAGCGGAGAAGTATGGGGTCATGAAGCTCAAAGGCCAAACCCTTCGACAAACAAACAGAGGCACGGGCTTAACAAAGTGGTGTAGAAGAACGTCCTGCGGCTTCCCAACGGCTGATATCCTCTGCTACCTCTGCTCAGGTACACGTAAATACAAATAAAGTGCTTCTCCTCACTTTACCGTTTTATCTGCAGAGGCGGTCACGCAAAATCCGGGGCCTGTTGAAAGAGCCCAAATGGAGTTTTGATGCAGCGTGAAAACGCGTCTTACAGCTCTTGTAAAGTAGTCTATCTGCACACAAAGCATGCCCGTCGGACACACAGAGGGCTCCCTCCGCAGGCACTCATATGTCAGCTAAATACTTAACTAAAATAATGCTGAAAAAGCTGAGACAGAGGGCTTTGGGAAGTCCAGCGAATGGCATACCTCGAGCAGACTTCCACAAGTCGATGAGACCAACAGCTTTGCCAAGGAGCTCAACCCACCTGGTAATTCATAGTTCTTCACGTAGCATCCCGTGTGAAACGCTTTGCTACAATACACCAGTGAGCTGATAATCTAGGTGAGATATGCTTATCATTAGGCTGCATTTGAGTCAGACTTCCTGCTCTACGCCGGTGAGCTACTCTAAAAATAGCTTTGACGGGTCGAAAAAAATACCAGCTGCCAGCACACAGATGCAGTGACGCACTCACTTGTGTTTGGCCCTACGGCTTGATCTGGCAAGATAAAGGCAAGGTCTGTAAACAGATTTCCCCTCCCAAGACCATCGAGCGTTACATTGGACCCGGGCAAATGTCCATTCTGCAGTATGCGCATTCACATGCACTGCAGATGTGTTGGACTCTCTTCCCCATAAGCTGCGAATGTGCCAATAATAGAGTGCCTCCTTGCTACTCCAGCCTCTGGAACATTCACTGTCTGGCTGTGCTGGTCATATACAAAAGCGCCATTATGGCACACCAGACGAGCGCACCATCCGCACTTAAATTACCGGAGGATGTGTCTCCCCATGCAGCTGTTTTCCTCTTCGCTGCCGTCACGGCTTTGCTAAAGGGCACCATATTTCAGCAATAAAAGTGGCGGCTCTACACGAATCCCAGTGGTGATCTCGTGCTCAATGAGATGCTCATTTTTACCTTAATTCGCCAAAACCGGATGTTTTCTTTTCCACAGCTCACAAGGCGAAGCTCCTCCAAAGGGGAAATGCGTAGTGTCTCAACCTGATTTTACCGCACAGGCTTCCGTGTATCCTTGCCAGGGAGAAGGGGTGAAGTACATGCGTTGCTTCACAATGAATCTTATAGAAAACTAGCGTTGAGTAAGTGTGTGGAGAGTAAGTGCCAGTCACCTGGAAATCCGAAACTTGACGGGCAAGAAGATTGGGGCGTCCCGTTGTCAGCAGGCCATACAGTTCCCAAACTTGGAGCTGCTGGCGGTTAAGGCGGTCTGAACCAACAAGCTGAGTGGTTAAGCACAAACTGCTTTCGCATTGTGCAAGTTTGTATGCAGGATTCTTCACAGTACTGCGTGGCATTCAGGTGGACTAGGCTAGCAAGAAGTAGCAACTAGGATCGTGGCCAAACGGCTCAAGCAAATTACCACCATATATCGGCCCCTGGGGTCTAAGCGCAACAAAGATATACGCTCGAGTGTTGCCGACTGAAGGATCTGCAAGGGCAGCAACAACTCGTAGCTCTTAATCCATGGAGGGATAACTGTACTATCTACTGTTAAAAAGGAAAGCACCATTAAAAGGGGAAACACTTCACTGCAAAAGTAAGTTTAAGCAGGGGTCGTATGCCAGAACTCATACTGCAGACCTCCTGTAAAATGTATGCCTACAATTCATCTAGACTAGCAAGTACGTGTGCGTTTGGTGTGAATTACTGGAAGCTCTGCATTTGCTGCGATGTTTGGAAGGCCCACTACCAAACTATGGTGTCACGGAAACTGCCGAGCACTGCCGAATACGCACCAATATTGCGTCTATGAAAAGGGATCAAGGTGTCTGGAATTGTAAGGAGAGGCCGCAAACGGTGGAAAAGCCTGCCCTTGGGGAACTGAACACTGCTGATCGTGCTCGCCAACGGTCTAAGCTAGTCGAAATATTTGTGCAAGGAGGTGTATGTAGAGATTGCTCCAACTCACCGCTGTGCACCGGATATCTTCACTATCAGATTCAACAGGCGGTAGTTTCCAAATCCTGCAGACGGCCAAACATGTGAAAGTAGAAGCTGATTCTAAGTATGTTCTAGCGTGGTAATTACCTCGTGCGTGCACTTCTTAGGAGCATGCAGGTGACCATTCATCGCCATGGGTCTCGAATACCGAATGAAGAAGTCTAAGCTGCTGCGGTTGTTGGCCACAGATGAAATCGATGCTTTCTAGCCTAGGGCTCCGTTGAACTGCGCACCGTATCGATGGTTGTTGGGCCGCGTTTTCCACTGTTGCTGCCAGCCGGGCCTCGTGGGCCACCTCAAGGAATTCAATTATTGCGCTGTGACCCAAGAGGCACCGTGATGTGTCTGCGACCCTCGCAAGACTCCGAATCAGTGGGAAGAAATTTGCGCACATGACAATAACCTTCAGTTCATCTTATGGCAGAAAGGCTCGCTTGAATAGCGATCCGGTGTCTCTGCAAAACTGATTGGAGTTCAGTGGGAATCACTGACTTTTTCTTAAGTTCCTGTAAAGTAGAATCGATGAATGGCAGCTAAATATTTTGGAGTCTCCTACCCACACTGCCCCACATTTCCGTAGTTGCGCTGGCCGACACAGGCCGCTGACTTGTTCAGCCTGGTAAGTAGCGTACGTGAATATGAGTGGGATATTTTTCCGTGACGTTAACAGTCACGGCGAGCGTGTGCGGGGGAGCGGTGCCACCAGCATAGCATTCTCTATCTAAATATTGCACTCCCCAGTGCTGTGCAGCGCGCATTGTAAATTCTCTATATTATGCAATTAGCACCTGCATCCCCCGAATGAACGCGAGCGCACATAAGAACATGTATTTACCTGCAGTACTGCTCGGACTCCAAATACATCTTCGGCTGGCCTCCTCCCACCAGTAAACAGCTGGCTCCGCCGGGAGTCGCAAGGAGATTCATTTAAACTTTTCACTTCAGCCTGTTCTCCGCCGCTCCAGGGAATCTCGGGTAGAGATGCAGCTGAAGCCAAAATGCTCTCCAACTGGTCGCCATCTGACAGGCGCAAAGATTGTACGAACCCTCTTAAGCACCGTGCTAAACTAGGCTCTAGGGAATTATATCTTTGCTGTTGGAAAAGCAAAGTGATGCTGTGGCGATTAGAATACATGAACTGGGAACGGAAAGCGCGCAACTCAGATACCAGGAAGAGGTTCCGGCGTGCTGGGATCTGTGCTGCTACAGCTTATTTGATTGCACTCTGAAGAACGGCATCCAATGGGTATGTAGACCCAAGGCAGCAGGTCCTGCGGCATCAGCCCAGAAACTTCCTTCAGGCGTAGAGGCTTCGGAATGTCCTGCAGGAAGCACCATAGCAGGGATTGCGCTGGATCCCTTGGGTTCCTTGACCCAGAGCACAAATGGACAGGGAATCATTACGCCGCATGCACAGCGATATTGCGTGCTTATTGCAATGAGCATAGCTGCTCGCTACAGCCTTTACCGAGGTAACCAGGGTGGCATCTGGCTCACATTTGTGGTATAAAGATGGTCTGAAACGAAGAGCCCCCGAAGATAAAGGCAGGCGCATACTTGAACAGAGACGAGGGTGTTCCCCATCGGGGGCAGCTTCGTAAACTGGCCAATGATGCTTGGCAGATGTATGCAAAGTTGGACCCAACGAGATGGCGGCACGAGGGGGTACTGTATCACGCGAGCTCGTACCTGTGCGTTGCAGGAGGAAGCTCAAAATCACTCCAGATACAACAGGAACGTAGCACTACCTACTGGGGGCGTTCGTCTGTTGGCGGCACCCCTGACAACTCATGGGTTGAGGGATCGAAGGCAGACCTTTGGTTCTTTAACGAGGTTCGTCAAACTGATGCGCAACGACGAGTTCTTGGGGGTGCTCAAGTCAAAATGCATGACAAAAAAGCGGTTCGCCATCGGCTTGAATTGCACGTATACCTAAGATTATCCAGGAAATGCACATCACAGCACGGAAAGCCTTATATTTCGTACGTGCCAAAGTGTTGGTTGAGTTAAACAATAGGCTTGTTTGCGCACGGCTGCCGTCAGTCGCCTCTGATGTGTGACTCAAACGAACATACATAGTTTGCTCTAATTTCTAGCTTTTGTTGCGCATTTCGCGTGCTCGGAAAACAAACGAAATTGTTTGCAGAGACAAGCCCGTAAATTCTCCATACTCTCCTTCCGATAGTTCGATCCTGTCCAAACAGTCCACAACATATGAGCCGACGGCAGACTAAAGGCGGACACGGACGTATATTCACGCGAAGCGAAGGAGTTGATTGTCAGCTAGTCCAAGCGTCCAGCACCCTCAACATGGCCTGTTTGAACTACAATCCAGTGTACGGTACTGCAGGCCGCACAACTTCCTCCGTAACCTCCCCGTGTTGGCTGCTCCTAGTAGGATCGCCGATTGGGAACTCTTTGAGGAGGTTGACGAACGTAGCGCCGCTTCCTTCTGTCCCTGGGCTCATTGACGGAATACGCTGGTACTCGGCTTGGCTGCAGAAACAACTACGGATATAATTCCAAGTTGTTGGTCGCCTAGCGTAGATGTCAGGCGGGACAGAGGTTCTCAAATGTTGCACGCCCTCCGCAGCATGTGAAGGAGTGGATTTCCGTCGTCAGATTGACGAGATATTCGGCTGCAGTGTACGAATTGCACGTGGTAATATCGGAGCCTCCCGAGTCTGTCAGCGTACGGTTTTTGCGAAGAACTGACGACAACCAATAAACAGACAGCCTCATCCGTTATTGTATCATCTAAAAGATGATGTAGCATACACTTTTCTGTTGGAGCACCTACTGGACAGTGAATGGCGATGATGCCGCGCTAGGGTGCCCGAATGCCAGGGATTAGAAGCTGTTTTGCGGGATACGACTCGAATTACAAACAGTTCACAGTGCATGAAATTCCACTTTCTGGTTTTCTTCTAGAGACGCAGCAAGATGCCTATTTCGGCGTTTTTCGAGAAAACCAAACAAGTACTTCGGGACACGCAAGAACAGCACATGCTCGATGCTGCCGATTGAGCTCCAGTGGCATCTCAGGGCAGCCTCCATGACAGAACATACATAATTCACTTTGCAGATAAACAAAACAAGAAATAACCTCCCATCAATAGCTTTCTGCGCTGCAGCTCCACCGATGGAGACGCCCAGGAGGCATCCTACATGCGTCGGGGCCCCCAGCTGTCCAGCGGTCAAATCGGATCTGGATCCTCACAATTCGTTCGAAATGAAGGCAATGCAAGCAGGAATGCACTGAGGCATGTCTGTAGGGACAGTCTGAATTATGCAAGTACATCAGGTGCTTACAGTTTGCAGCAGTCATCACCGACTGTGCTGCATCGAAGGAGTACAGCAAGGCCCCTCGGCATATGTAAGACGCTCCTCGTCAGCACTTCAGCTGGAAAGCAATAGAATGCGTATATTTGACTCGCTAGAACACTAACCAGCTCTCTAAACGCCCAACAGTAGACCGGAAACAATTCCGTCCGCCTCGCCACGGGACAAAACCGGCGGCCACGCGGCCGCCCCTGTCTATGAGGTGCGTATATATCACAGCGAACAAAAACAGGTCGCCCGGTGATATGCCTAAATTCGAGTTAGGAAAACGTTGCACGGCAACTGGCCTTGTCTACGCACTGGCCGTGCAGTACAAAGCACTGTTGGGGCATAGAAGACCAAGTATTGGCTTGCAGGATAAACTGCTGCATTAGTTGTCTTCTTCAAGCTCTGCGAGATGCTGCAGCTCCGGTGGCAGCAACTCAAGCTCCTCTTCTCTGCACAAGGTTGGCTGCGTGCCAAGCTGAGAGCCTGCACCTTCGGCGCGAGAGGCCACCCCATTCGTATGCCCGTTAGTAGTTGCATCTTCCATTGTAGGCTCGTTCTCATGGTTCATTGATGTTTCAGCTTCGTACCTGTCCAGAGTAGGGACCATAAGGCGAATGCTGAAGCGCGCGAGGAGGTGAGAAAGGCCGCTGATTGCCAACCCAACGCGCTGACAACAGAGCTCAAAGATGGGAACCACAGTCAGGCAAAATCCCATAGGGACGCGAAAAGAACAACGATGTGGGAGCTGTACCTGTAGCACAAGAGACCCCACCAGCAACGCACGTCGGCACGTGATGTTGCTGCGTACCTCGGCATATTCACATGCATATAACAACTGGCCTCACTCTTTCCACTTCACGGCCTACCTGATGTACGCGAACCCTCTCCTTTGGCCGAGTGACATGAGGAGGTAGATAGGGGACCAAGTCGTCGTCAAACTCGCCCCTCCACCACTCGCCTAGGAACTCGCCCACTTCCATGTCAGGCCCTTCGTTTGACAGTTGCTGCGCCACCCATTTGCGTTTGGAGCATTGTTCTGGTCTGATCAGGTACTTTGCAAGTTTGGCGTGCAAAACTTCCCTTGGTTTCTGCCAAGTTTTGTACTTGAACATCAACAAGCTGTGCTTCTTCTGCTGTTGATCTAACAGCAGCAGCACATGGGGGTACTCCGCCCTGTGTACTAGAAAAATAGCAGCTACTGACCTCCGAGTTCCTTCCCGAAAATACGCTTCTTGTCGTTTCTTGAGAAGCTCCTCCTCCGAGCCTGAACCCCACTTGTTTCCCAGTGTGCTGTCGGCCTCGAAGGAATAGTTGGACTCCGGGAACACTGCCCACTCTAGCTCCACGTCTCTCGGTGCTGAAGTTGTCTTGCTGATAGTTTTGAAGTTCCCCTGTCTATGCTCTATGCTGGAAGTTGCATCCATAGAGGCGCTCAGTCCCTCCCTCTCAAAATCGCCATTGCGTTGGCACTCCACAAAACCTGACGACAGTTCCTGGGAAGTGTCCACTGACACATTCAACGCTGGGTCTGCCGTGCCCTCCCCGCCGGTCGCTTGCATTTTCATACCTCCCCTTCTTAACCATACACGCCCACGAACACAGCAGGAAGGGGTGATACGAGGGTCCCTCGGCGGAGCCGCAGCAACAAGCCTACAGACAGCTGCCCAAAGACGCCCCAACGGCACTGACCACAGTAAAGGCGACCGCAGATATCATCGCTCGATGAGACAGCATCATTCCTGCGTCAACCAATGAAACAGTACGAGATGGGGTGGACCCCTCTGCCGCTTATTCCACCTGTCGATTTCGCCTTCGGCAACGCGCAGTCAACGAGTCATATTCACTCTCCACGCAGAAAACAACCCATTGTTTCGGCTTAAAAAACGCACAAAACAGATTTTAAAAAGACTATTAACAGGTACTAAGAGCTGCTGGCTCCCCAAACGCTCATTCGTCCCGGAAGCGGCCGACGGACGACATATGCATGCTTGATTTTCTCAACGGGTTTCCTGATAAGTGGACACTGCAATCCACTTCTGAAGCCTGCTGTACGTTTAAATATACAGTGTTTATCATTTTTACACTTGCAGGGAAGGGGAGTCGGGACGCAGAGTCCTCAAGTTTTTTTGTGCGCCCACTCGCCCTTCGTAACGGCATTATTTGATGGAAGTGCGCAGCAGTATGGGTTATATGTAGGCAGTGGATGGTCGCATCTGGTCACGTTTTCACATCGTTCGTATTCAGAAATGTCTGGTTTGGTACGAGCCTTCCGAGACTCCCTGCGATGTATGGTATTTCGGGGGGCCCCAAACAAGCTGCGTACTTCTGCATTGACAAAAGGGTCTGGCCCGCCCAGCTCAGTTGAAGATGCTACTGAGGAAAATGTTGATTGCGTAGCTAGCCATGCCTTTGCCCTTGCAGGACAGAACCCAGCGGCTGTAGCGCACCTGATAGCCTATTTTCGCGTAGTCGAGAGTGTCGACTCGCTGAACCAGAAGTACGTGGTGGCCGGGAAGAAGGACGGACAAGGATCCATACAGCGGGCAGCTAAGCTTGCCGGTCTGCGCCTACCCTAAGCACCGTCAGGCCCGGCGCAGGCTCGGGTAAGCGAGAGAGAACCTAGACTTTCTACGCAACTAAACATTGTCAAGTTACTGGGCGCTGAATGAGATGCACTAGGACATGATGAAGTATGTAAGTAACGGATGCCTGCCAGCTGCCTTATGTGCTCAGGTGCCTCGTGAGGAAGCAACCTGCTCCCGCGTTAATACTTATGGGCAGACGACGAAGGACTCTATCCTGATTGGAAATATGGCAAAACACTCACCGACAAATATCTCGTTATATCTTTCCCAGACGGGCTGCCGGGTGGCTGTGCTAACATCTGTAGCAGCGATAGCCACTGGGGAGCCCACACAACCAACCACCCACGCTGTAGTCTGGCCAAAAGGGCGGCAACAGCGAGCCCCACAGTTCTGAATCCTATGACTATGGGCTCCGCATGCATTCTGATGCTGCGGCTTACCGTGAGTTCAGTTGTTTACTGACAAGGTATGGCTAGCTGTCGACTGCCGTGCTGGGGACGAGCACGCAAGTAAATTCATTCCACAGTGGTAACAACCGCGAGAGGAAAGTGAATATGAATATCAGGCGGAACTGCTTTTAAATGTGCATATCAGCCGGAACTACTTTTAAATGTGAAGACGTTTGGAACTCTCCCCTGGATACACGAACCTTATGCGTATCCCTCTCGAGCAGAGAAGGACCCTTTGATTTGTACCTCTGTAGACATTTTGTCTCGTCCTTTAAATCCCGTGCAGACGAAATACATTTCCCGCGACTCTTGGCGACAAGCCCTAAATAGAACAAAGAGTGCAGCATCGATTTTGTCTCCAGCAGGTCGCTGAAAAGGCGGTCAGCGCCTGCCTTTGTCTTCCTTGGAATGCAGTGGGCCTGCTGTATAGTGAGCATAACTTGGTCTTTATAAACTCTAGCCCCCCAAACACATTCCTAGTGATTTTTTATACTTATATAAGAGCACAAATAATGCCTCACCGTGGCTTAGCGGACGTAACGCGACTGAACCTGCTCTTAAGATACGTTTTGTAGTTGCCGGTTTCGCTCCCCATGAATATCTTAACGACGAAAGTCCCACCAAGGCACAGAACCTGCAATATTGAGGCAAGCACACCGGCACCAGCTGCACTGAATGTATACTTGTGAAGTTCCCAAGCTTACTTTGTCCTCGTAGTGCAACTGCTGATACCTGCTCCATTAGGTCAGCGGCGTAGAGGCAAAGCTCCACAGAATTGTAGTGGTCATCGTGCCTAATGCCAGTGCATGCCGGTGCCATATCACTCAACACAACATCTGCCTTTCGATCTCCCAGTGCTTGCAGCACCGCATGCAGAGTCTTCGCGTCGCCAACCCTCCCCCGAATAAACTGCACGTTGGAGAGCTGCGAACCACAGGTAATTTTGATGGTGGTGTTACAATGAAGCCAAATAAATACGGGAAAGTGCTTTTGTTCCAGTTCCTGTCCAGTTGTACGTTACTCCATTCTGGTATTCTTCTCCCAGTACTGTGTATCTACGCACTCTGCAACCCCGGGTTCCTGCCACACTGGCTGGGCTGCTTACTGGGTCCATCTGGGCGACATCAACCCCAATGACACGGGAAGTTGATGGCGTCGAGGCTCCACCGTTGGGTTGATCTGTTGGTTCGTGTCCTGGCACCAGACAGCGCTTGGCAGCTACCTGGCACCATCCTCCTGGGTAGCACCCCAAGTCAAGAACAACGCGATCCTTCCTTAGAAAAAGATATTCGTCATCAAGCTGCTTCAACTTAAACGCTGAACGACTTCTGTAGTCACACTGCATCACACAGGGGTAAGCTTATTCTCCTAAGCGCTCTCACTGAAAAGCTACTGTTACTAGATGCATCGCCCTCGGAAAGCTGATGTGTCTGGGGTGTTCATGTAGGTTTATGTGGGCACAACCAACTAAATGTACTGGAAAAGCCTCAGAAGATTAATGGTTGGGGCATGCACAAAAGCATCAGCTCAGTACCTCTTGCGCTCGCTGGACGTAAGGATCTGTAATATGACGGCGGATCCACTCAGAACTGTGTTGTGAGCGATGGTTTCTTATCGAGGGGATTGCAGTAGTCAGTGAGCGGCGAACAGTTGCATTGGGCAGCGTAGTAATGGTACCTCCAATAGTCCATCTGCGGCAGTAACACTGAAGGGCTGTTGCCAAGCTCTGCTGTTTCGACGCCGTGGCCTGCACAGTCAGCCTCCCGGCTGCGCCGCGAATCATGCTGAAAATTCAAAACATATGTCGCCGTTCGAATTTACATAAAGTAATTGAACTCTTGCTAAAGCAGACGGCACCTTCTACCAGGAGGGCCCCCCAACGGCACAGGAAGTTACAACCGAACAGCCTGCGCAAAATGAAAGCTGAGTGTGCTTGAAGGCACCACACATGCCCAAATACTGGTATATCAGCTAAAGTTATTAAATTTGACCCTAACTACCATCGGCTTCCCTTAGTCGTCCCACTGGCCGCTGCTGCCATCGGCCTCACCAGCCCCAACGGCTACAACCTGGGCCAACTACACGACAAGTTCCATTGTTCACAAACCACTCGCCCCCACAAGCATTTACTGTTATTCTGTTGCAACGGCAATTGGGGTCTCCCAACGACCCTAGTGCTTTGTGCCCAACAACCCTAGTGTAGCCGAGGGGGAGGGCCGTTGTCCTAAGGGACGCGCCTGTCCAAGCAAGCTACGAGACCGTGAAGTTTGGATACCACTAGTCTTCTTAAAGGGGATCGTTCCAATTCCCTCTGGTAACTCATACCACGAACCGCTCCCCCCTGAGCCACCCCTCCAGACTACATAGACTACCGGTCCTATGTATTGTCCACTATAGTCAAACTCGCTCACTACACACTACCTGTATATACCGTTGGTTCTCCATATTGTAACGAGAACCGCCTTCAACTTCACTACTGCTTACACACCACAATACCTAAGAGTTGTAACTGGCTGCGCTATGTGGGGTTTGCTGTACAACTTTACTAAATTCAAATTCGCATTTTCAACGCAACACCAGAGTAAGGATCGTTGTTGTTTAAAGAAATTTTGCGGATTAGCATTTTGCCGCAATGCCCTTCAGCAACAGTCATTCAACCTATGGCTGAACTGGCGATTACTTGGTTGAGCGTTTCTTGCTCTTCTTGTTCTCCGTCTTCACCTCGTCCCTCTTTTGCCTTTCTTTAACTTGCAAGACTTGTTTCACGCACTTCTGTTCCTCAACAAGAAAAGCACGGAGCACCCTGCATGCGTAAAGTCAGTGGGTCACAGGAGAGTAACCTGATTATCAGCAATGGAAAGCAGCACTGAACTGTGCAATTGAAGGTACTTGTCTATAAAGTGTCGGAACGAAAGCATGGTATAAATCAACACTGATACCAAACCCACTTTTCGCGCACGCACGAGTGGCAGCGGGTGCCTCCGTAAGCGCGGTTAACTGTCCTTTCACGCTTCTTCAAGAGTCTGAACTGGGGTGGGCGACGGGCAGGGATCTGCACAGATAGCTCAAAACAATGGCAGACCATTTCAGCTGGATTAAAATAAAACACAGAGGATGACATTATCATACGACAACAACAGGACACAACCACCTACACTTGTTGTGATTATCTTCTTCGAACAGATGAAAACGCTACACCCAAGCAGCCCCCACGGTACGGAACCATCGGCGGCAGTTACAGCTCATGATTCCCTGGCAACATCAGGAGGGATTCTGTGTGCTTCACGAGCACGGCACGAATGGATATAAGTGGAGACGCAGCAGCAAGTCCGTGATCGTAACGATCTGGGCGCTGAAGGCCGACTGCTACCCCTCAGAGTTTGGATGGAAGCTTCATAAGTGCACAATACAAGCATATCCATGCACTTTTGGTGTAAAAACGCAGATGTCACAGAATAAAAGTGGAAATTCTTACTCCAGGAAGGAGCCTTCCGCATCCCCCACACTTTTGGCGAGAAGCCTGCTTGCGGACATTGAGGTAGACGACCTTGGCGCCTGGGGTTTTCACGCGCCTCACACGGTTAGAGGCGGTATTATAGTGGTTGTGGCGGCGAAAAACGAGGCGGGTGGACATTTTCAACTCCCAATGGAAGGGCCTGCGGGCTGGGGAAGCGCGGCGTGCAAACGGCAGTCGGTTTCTGCGCAGTCGTCTGCAGACACTGCTCGTGACGGGGTAAGTGGCCCGCAGCCCATGAATTAAAGTAGTACAGAATGTTCGTTCAAATGCCCCTGAAATGCAACCACCAAGAGAGAAATCCGGCGCATACCAGAGTATGGAAGCCCACGCTGCGCCGCCCCATTTGCAGCATGCCAGCCCACAGCCCCAGAAGCGACAGTCGGACGAAGCACTAGCTGGGTTATTGCAGGAAGGCAATAACCCATATGGGCAGCAAATAACAGTAAAATAGAGTCGTTTCATTATGTTTGTTGGGTTGGAAGCTCGACTTTTCCATCTTCTGTGCCGCCGCGGATGCTGACTTGCTGAGTTGGCTGGATTGACCGCAACACCCCAAAGAGGATCCGTTGCGCAGCTCACTAGTTAAAGCCCATTGCTTCGAATCTCGCCGAAATTGTTAAAAATGAGAAGCAGAGACTTTTATACTCAGCTGAGGATGGCGTTTCTGGTCACTCTTTGACGTGTGCCACGTGAGCGGCAGCGCACTTGCAGCTTCACCAGTACAGCGGCAGCTTATGCAAACCAGCTCGTCGCATGGGCAGTTCGCGGATCCTGGATGTCTGGGGGACGTTGAATGGTACATGAATTCCCAGAACAAGCGTAGGAATATTCGCATAGTCCCGAATTTGCAACGTCGAGCGGGCTGCTTTCAGAAGCTGAATTATCCCCAAGGCTAACAGCTTTTGCTCATGTCTCCGGAATATTACCACTACAGGCTGTGGTCTCTTCACCGTGTCCACTGAGAAAGGTATCCTCTGTTCGTGTATGCCATTTTGTACTTCCCCGATTGGCGGTGATATCTGGGTTTTTTTTAGTTGGTAAATTGAAGCTACAATGGAGTATTTGCTCCCGCTTACGCGCCCTTCGCTCCCACAGGATAGTCTCCTGCAATCGAGCTCAGAAAGCCTGCACCCTCCTGCAGATGCAGCGTGGGGTGACCGCCGTGCTGGGGCTAGGAGCGCTTCGAGTTGGTTTTCTAGGAGAGGCCTTCCTAATAACATAGACGTAGATGATGATGACGAATCCGACACCTGGTGCTGCTGTGAGCCACTGAACAACACAGAAAGGATCTTGGGATGGCTCACGTGCTTCCTAGGAGGGCTTATCCTTTCGGCAGTGTCGATGGGTGAGCCGTGTCGTATAGTTGCTCCGTACTCATATCAGATTCATTCTGAGTGATGGCACACTTAGAGGCTGTCGAAGCAGTGGGAGTGGTTGAATCACAGTTCCTTTGTGAATATCTTAGCCCAGAAAGATGGAGACATGCGGACCACTAACCCGGGGCCCATTCTGCTTTGCTTTGGGTGCGTTGAGAGTTATTGCCCAATGGCCAATAAGCGTCTGCTGACTGCGTGTTGCGTCACACATATGGTGTTTGCTCCTCAGGCTCCTTCAACGATATGTTGCTGGGAAAAAATAATAAATTCGCTGTCACGTACACTATTGGCAACATCATTGGATTGGCAGGGACTGCCTTTCTTGTTGGTCCGATTCAGCAGTTTCGGAACATGGCTGACAGATCACGCCTCGTGACGAGTTGCATCTTTGTCGGCAGTTTAGTGGCAACCTTGCTGTCGAGTGTTTACCTAAAGGTGGGGTTCGTCATTGTATTTTTCGTTTGTGTTCAGTGGCTGGCGTACATGTGGTATTCTTTGAGCTACATACCGTACGGACAGCGAGCGTTTTTGTGGGTAGTCACGAGACTGTCTTTCCGCTGAGGCAGCAGCGGCTGTGGCCAGTATTTATACGTAACCACCCATATGTACAGTTGCCTACATTCCCAAGTGTTATAGCACGCACGGGAAAGCCACACCTGCCTACCCTCCGCAGACTGCGCAGGTGCCCTCGTATGGAGGACCATCATGCTGGTGAGACGCAGTACTGCACATATCGGCTATGGCGGTGGGCAACTCGCTGCCGGTCTCGTCAACGTTGAAGACTATCACAGCAAGTCCGAATATGTCCGAATTTTTTTTTAAGGGGTTCAAACCCGGTGCTATGCTTGCTTTTTTGACGAAGATCGGCCCATTTTCAGCATGCTGCCATTTTGAGCATTGACTTCCGACATTATGTGAGAATTCTGCATACAGTTTTGCGAGCTTATGCTACTGTTTCTGTGTCCCTTAGTGTTGCTTGTACTGTGTGCTGTACGCTCGAGTAGTTGCCAATTAGCTGCAAATATCAACCTCGCAGTGGCCAGCGGCAGAGCATGTTCCTACATCAAATATGTTCTACTGCGAGGCAAAGATGCAGTTGTCAAGCCGACTGCCATTCGGCAGTGGCAAACACTCATCTAGTATGTCTGACAAAATGTACCGCGGCCACCCGCAGTGCAGTGGCCGGCGACACCGTTTGAAAGCATCAGCTACAGAAAGTTGCGCTCGTCTTCGGAAACGCACTCAAACGCTGGGTGCCCTCGACAACTGGTGCTGAACGCCATGACTCTCGCCCAATGTTGTGATGTGAACTGACGGCGGAGCAGCCTGCCCAAACTGCTGCTGCTGCATGGCAACCCCCAGCGAACTCATTAAAGGATTGGGCTTGGAACAAACCAGTCGCTTTCTCACGGGTTCGTCTGCTCCTAGGCCGTCTTCCCACTTTGTTGCGGAGGCACTACCTCCAAGGCCATCGGCCTCATCCAGATATTCATCATCTGCTGGGCCCTCCAGTCCTTCAGGCCCGTCTGCATCATCATCGCCCTGCTCACCTCGGTCAACCTTGCGTTTCCACATGACAGCTGCCCCATAAGCTGCTTCTAGGCCGCCAAACTTCCTGGTGCTGAAGATCTTCGTCGTTTCCCGGCCCTTTACCGCCACCTCCCAGCATGCTCCCTTCACGTTGTAGGTGACCCCCCCGACTGAGGGAAATTCCCTTGCTAAGGAAGCCAAGGTGCGTTTACCGGGCTTCGAGGCACAAAGCAATCTCTGCTTCCGCTTTGAACAGGATTGCACGCCATCATCTTCCAGCACCTCTGCAGGGCCAACAGGGGCAATGACTGACCCGTCGGCGTCACCGGATGTCCCGAGAATCCCGAGGCCCCCACGAGGACCCTTCGCACACTGCAGGGTCAACTGTGGATCGCTCGCTGGATCGATGGATACCGGTTTTGTCGTAGCCTGTCGCTGCTGTCCTTCTGGGCAACGCAGCGGAGAAGGGGCTCCCGATGAGTCACTGAAGCCTGGGAGCCGCAGAGATGCCGTGGCTGAGCCCCCTAACAAAGAGCTCACCAATGCCAAGGCCGACGATGAGTGGTCGCCTAAATTCAAGTACGAGGGTAGTGGGTGAGCTTTAGACCCCATATTTGGGGGTTGTCTCGCTGGAGTCTCTTGAGCGGTAGAAGAGTGCTGCAGCAACTGCTGTTGTAGTTGTTGCAACTGCTGAAGCTGATCTTCAAGCTGTTGTTGCAGCTGGTGTTGCAGCAACGCCTGCTGCTGCATAGGCGACCCCGTAATTGCTGCAGAAGGAACTGGCATCTGTTCCTTACCCGGCGCATGCTGCTGAATAGTCTGCTTTCTTGGAAGAGGAGGCATCACACAATCTGCCGAAGGAAACCCGGACGAAGCCGGCCGTTGCGGCACCCCACGTGGTGAGTGCCTTGGAGTTGTCCCAGAAACAGCTGCTTTTACTTGCATGGGATTCACGCTGCGAAAAACATTGGCGCTTCCACTCACCCCGGGGGCATCATTGGCTCCCTGGATCTCCGGCGCTTCATTGGTTGCGCCCAGGCCGTCAAGTTTGCTCTTGGCAGATGAATGCTGCAGCACGGCCGTCGGCGTCTGAATACCGCGGTTCCCAAGTGCCTCCGCAATTGCTGTAGTGGCGTCCCCCATAAAGAGCAAATCTGGCAAACAAAAACCACAAACCCTGCACGCCTGCTCCTTCGATTCACTTTTCACGAGCACTCAGCTGCCGTAGATGCACTGCATTTTCTCCCATAGACGCCTTACCTCAACTGCCCCGCAAACTCATTGCGAACACTAGCATGCAAGCTCAGCTGCCTTCGGAACGACACATACCTGGGAGCCTTGTCTGCAATGAGGGCTGCTCTCGGCCGACAGAAGCTTCAGGCAATGCAGGTTGTGCTGAAGCCCGCTGGGCTTCTGTCGATGGAGTGTTTGTGACTTTGGATGTGGCCATCCCCATAAGGGTTTGTCTCGCCTGAACAGCCAGACGTCGAGCCTTCTCAAAGCCGTGCTGCTTGATGTTGAAGCAACTTTGCCTTGGCTGGCCTGAGGCGAGAAGAAAGATGTCAGGGGAAATGCAATCTAAGCCCTGTGAAAAAGGAAACTTCAAGGCAAACTTCCTGCAACAAAATTTGGCTCACGAAAAAACCCAGTATGTCTGGGTCCGTTAGCAGGCCATGCAGCAATTCTTACAAAAATGCTCGAGTTGAGAACTGGGCGAGGACGTACCATTGGCGTCATTCCACTGTGCAACCCAGCACGTATGTTTTTTGCCAATAAAAACCCCCTTTATTTTAGGCAATTCCGCTGCCCGAACGGCATACTGCTGCCGTACTGGGCAGTCATTCAGGTTCGTGCTCCCAGCTTTTCCAACAGACGTCTCCGCCACTGCCCCAGCGTTCCGCCGCGCAACCCCTGTAGAACCAGTCGAGTGACCTCTCCGAGCGAAACCCGAAGGAGCAGCACAACCTCCGCCCCCAGAGGTTCCTCCACCAACAGAGTTTGTTTGCCGGTCAGCTGCGCCTGCACCGAAGACAAGCAAACAAAGTAATAACGTACATGTTTGAAAAGAATTGTACTTCAAAATGTTTCGAATTACAATGGAGCCCATGCCCACTTAAATTCCCGTAACAGCACTGCCTGGCAGAACAGTTATCCATAAATTCAACACACTTCCTACGTCGACGTCCATCCCAGCCAACGACATTTTACCCCGTACCCAAGTATGCTGATTCGTACTGCTGTGCTTTTGAAGCAGCCTACCGTCTCCATCCACGCGAGCCGTTGCTTCCCGATCAACCGACCACGTTCCCGAGAGGCCAGGCGTCCTGGGTGATGTTTTGGACCCCCCATTTGTGGGTGATAGCTGTTGCTGGTGCGGCATTGGCAGCACGAACGAACCCACCTGTTGCGCCCTCGAAGAAACGGGGACGGGCCCCAAACCCGTCGGGCTAGGAGCATTTGGAACAGCTTGCCCACAACTGATATCTCGTCCACCGCGCACAACAACGCGTGGTGGGTTTCCCATGTCCCCCGTCTCAACTGAGGCACCACTGTTTGGCTCCCACAGATGTCGCGGGCCAGCTGCGCCATCAGAACTATGTAACATGTCCCCTGCAGGTTCCACGTCAGGATGCTCTAAGAAGCGCTGGACACGCGCTATGCTTGCCTTCAGATTCCGGCGGCGCCTATACGCAAGGCGGATGCAGTCGAGGTCGTTGAGCACTTCCATAAGCTGGTCGCGTGACCACTCCCTCGCGTCGAACGGAGACAAACACTGAAAAACGACACGATAGCTCTGCAGCTCCAGGGAATCAAGTGATCTTGCAGCGATGGCAGCTTTAAAGTGAAACCCGAAATTGTCGTCACGTGCAGCCCAGGTTGGCGCCAATGAGCGCAGCATCCGCAGAATCCTCAATACCGCAGACTTCTGAGCAGCCAACTCCGTCCCCGAGGCGCAAAGAAGGACAGAAGGGTCCAGCAGTGGCAGCGGTGGTACCCAACCACCGCTGCCTCTGATACAGCGTCCCGTATCAGCATCTGATGCCGCTAAAGCTGCTGAAGATAGAATTGCGTTGCCATCGTCAGGGGCATGGCCGTCTGAACGGACTCCGTTCAGGTTCAGACCAGAGATGCTTGCCCCCAAATCCGTACGGTCACAATTTGGCGCATCAGCAGCGCCGTACTCTGTGTCAGCCAGGCATGAAACTGCTCCAGCTGCTTCAGTCCATTGAAATGAATTACGCATCAGAAGCCGGTCCGGATCTCTGCGCAGCATCTGTAGCTCCTGCACCAGTAGGTGACGCGCCGGAGTCGGCAGGGTTGCAGGCCTGCGGTATGTCCCTACACATTCTCTAAAGATGTGGCAATATGGAAGGAGCTCCGCAAAACGATCGGCGCACGTTACCGCAGCAACGTGGTGCCTGAAGAGGAGATGCAGCGACTCCTCCTGTTTCTCTTTACTGGATACAGGCTCCTCACCGCCCCCTTTGCTTTTGGGCCGGACACCATCCGCGCTGTCTGAGCCACTGGGGGAATTGACTCCCGATCCTGGAGGTGCATCGGAGCACCCTGCAGACCCTGTAAGGGGAAGGGAAAGTTTGGCACCCTTTTCACTACGCTTGGTGGGTGTTCCGCTGCTATGCCGTTCACGAGTCGAATCGCAATCGACTGGGGGCAAGCGCCCGTTGTCCTGGGATATGCCTGCGACAGCTGCCCTTGTAGAAGCTCGTGGCGAAGCCACATCCTTCCCACTGCTCAAAGAACCAGTGTCCGGGCACGAGGGAGAATTCCAACTGCGGCCTTCAATTCGCGTTGGCGGCTCTGTACACCCAGTCGCAGCTTGGCACTCATCAGCAGACGAGGAGGTTGCAGAGTCTGGGCCAGAGCCATGCGAGCGCTTTGCGGGAAATGGAGATAGGCTCCTAGCACGTGGGACTGTGTGCAACTGGGATGTGGCTTCGGTGCATTCCCCTCCCGAGACAGCGTTCCCACAAGACCCAGCATCCAGTAGCACTGCAGGGAGCGCAGCGTTGTTCATCCACTTGCTCTTCAGCAAGACAGACGCCCCAATGCAACAACTACACGGTTCCTGGCTTGAGGCGGCAGCACAGCAGCACGTTGCAGAATGAAGGTCTTCGATCAGTGTCAAGATTGTCAACTGAACTTCCGCAAATACACCTCCGGCATCCGGTGGAAGCTGCACCGCACGGCACATCTACAAGGAGAACGTAACTACCATAACAAGTGATTATGCTACTTGCGGCAAAAACGAGATCACTAGAAAAACCAAGTGCTAATCCGCACTTGGTATCACTGTGTCTGCCGTGATCTGTGTTGGGCAACACGCCTACCCGTACTGCGCCACTACCAGCACTCCCTGTAGTAGTCGGCTTGTCCCCAATGCAAGCCCAGCTTCGCACAGGCTCAATGATGTCATCTAGATGCTGGTAAGCGCCATTCGCTGTGTGGGGCAACGCAAAGCTAGGTCCACAGAAATAAGGTGCAGCAGCTGCCGAGGCATCCTTCTCAACGTCCGAGACTTCAAGTGAAGCTGCGACGTCGCTGGCGTGAAGGCTACTGTCGCAGCCATCCTCCCCGCCGCGAAATAAAGTTGCGGGCGGAGCCGACAAGCCTGATCCGCCAGAAGAAGTGCCGCTGGGCTCTCCAATGTCATTCTGAACCAGAAGAACGGCCACAGCAACGAAAAAAAACACTACTACATTAGGGTGCAATAAGCAGCGGGTGGTGGCAATTCACTACGACAAACTGGAAACATAGAACAATGCACCGAGGTTCGGCAGCTGCAGAAGCTTACATCATCAAACTTTTGAATAGCCATGCCTAGTGCCTGCAACAGGGCTCCCTTATCAGGCCCGACGCCATCCTCGGACACCCTAGGGCTCCGTGCGTCACTAGACTTGACGTCGCATGGACTCGGGAGCACAGGCGTCTTGTCTGCCGTAGAGGTGGGAGTGGCTGGTGGGTTCGCACTGCGTGGCGAACCACTGCAGCCAATGGCCTGAGATAACACACTAGAAGATGAGGCATGCAGCGCAGCTGGTGCTCTTCGGGTCGCATGACGCCCCCTCTTGCATGCTGTTTTCGAAGTAAAACGCGAATCCGGGTAATCTCCTTGTCGGGTGGCGACTTCATGGCTCAAGGCCGCCAGCCGTGCGCGCAGCTCAGAAGGCAGGACTCCACTAAACTGCGGCCGAGATTCCCCGCCTTGAGCCCAGCCAGGTGCATCTTCACGGTGTACGTCTGTGGACGGTGTCCGAGTCAATGAATGCGATCTGTCCCCATGAGTGCTTGCTCCCTCGTTTAAATACGTATTGCTTTTAAGCTCTTCGGGTAGATGTGCGAATAGCGCTCGCCGCACAGCCATTTCAGATGCTGCTTCCGCTTCCTGAGTGGCGAATGTAGATAACTCCGCAGTCCTAATATCCGTAGCAGAAGTGGGAAGCTCCGCCACATGCGTGTTGAACCCAAAAATGCAAGACCGCATTAACGGGCTGACCTCCACCAACTCTGGTGCAGCAACGAGAGTCCGTGGGCTGTTGCATTTTGGCTCACTGCCTGCCGCGAGGGCGGCACGCGGAAATTCGTGCATAGGTTTCAGATGGCGTTTTAATCTTTGCTCCTAGTTCATTCCCTTCCGTTGCACCTTGGGCAACAAAAGAACATCTAAACTCCGGTACACTACTTGTACGGAGAAAGCAGCAGGCCTCGGTGTTTAGGTAGAAGCCAAATGGGAATCTCGATCAAATTTCAACCGTACATACAACACAATCCACATGCATCAAGAGGTACAAAATGAGTTGCACCCCGTAAGGATCGTCGAGGCCAACGCATATCCTAGCTTACAAGACAAACTCGCAGAATGGGTTGCCCTTCAGGTGCCCCTGAAGGAAGCACACGGCGTCCAGCAGCACCCACTGGTCGTGCCCGTCAACCACCCTCTCGGCGTGAAAGGGGCTCAGAAGAATCTCCTTGGAACGACTAGCTGGTTTGCGTCTGCAACCTCCTCAGCCACTAGAGGATGCAGCGCCCTGGGTTGGGGACCAAGGAAACAGCAGCCTTTTAAAAGTACTCTATACCGCCAAAGGATTTCTGCTGCACATGCTTGAAGCCTGCACCTCCGTCCACCAACGCGGAGAAGAGCTGTCTCGAAGCAGCGTGGCACGCAGGAATCCTTACACTCAGCTGCATACCTATTCAACAGAAATATGGGTTTTAGGCAAGATGGAAGCATCCGCTGAGCAGGTGGGTTGGAGCAAAGTACGTGAGCCCAGATTATCACAGAATTCGTAAGGGGTGGTTGACGGTGCAGAGTTCGGCGTCCTCTCGAGTGAGAAAAAGAGAAAAAAACCCTCCACGAAATAGGTCTTCTACAGACTAGGATATCTCCTAAATAGGCGGAGTGGCAACAGAAGCCCTCAATAGCCGTACGGGAGCTTCACATCGACCTTGTTGACTCCGTGAGGGGCAGGCAGCCACCGGAGCCAGAAGCACACCGGATGAAGAAGCCAAGGCGAACCCCGCACGTCAAGATAAACAAAGCATTCTCATACCATCTCAATATTGAGAACCAACTAGAGAAATGAACTCCTGAGTCCTTGGAACCCGCACACCTGCCAAAAGCGGGCGATGCTCCGAGGTGTAGGAAACGCTTCGATGCTCCGAGGATTCCGTGTAAAAAGAGCTCGCGGTTTCGTAGTGTCCCCCATTAATCCTTAATTTTGAAAACCAGGCCGGTAGAGATACGATAATCACCACTGAAGCTCTTCGGGGAAACTGGAGCTCACGTTCAAGCCCAGAGGCACAGGCTGCTGCTGGGGGGTGGTGACTCGCAAACTAGTAGGAGTTCAAAACGGCAGGAGTATCCACTTCAGAAAGTTCGTATTCTTGTATGCATTTGATACATTCTGCATGTAGTGCACAACCTTTATACAGGACCCTCTCGAATTGCTTCAAACGGTCCCGCCCCCTTCCCTTCTGGTGCATGAGTGGGGGGGAGGCAGCGGAACCTTCTTGAGTTCTAGCAAGGGTTTGTAAACAATTTGTTTTCCTTGAAACGTACACCATCAGTCACCCTTCATTCTTCTTTTGCAGCGGGTGCGTACTTCTATCCAGGGGCCCTTGTCTGTAGAGCGTTGAAGTGGTTAATGCAGCACGGTCCGTCATAGGTAGGTCGATCATGCGTTTGTGGGTATGGTGGCCACTGATTGCAAATCAATTGCTTACCAGCTGCCTGGCGTGTAATTTCACGAATGTTTAGGGGGCTTGCGTAGGCTTGCATGATTACTTGCCTTGTCGGATCAGCTGGGTAGAAGCCCTTGTCCTGGATCTCATACGAAGATTGTTGTGAGCTGCAATTGAGCCAAATAACTACGCATGAGTGTTCCTTAAATGAACCTAAACTTCTCCCCCAGTCATCAGGCGTCATGACCTCAGCGGCTCACGGGCCTGGAGCAGCGGGACCGGTTGTGGCCTGCCACGAGGTTCAACGCGCCCTGCTGAGGCTGAAGATGTAGGATATCCCGAAGTACTAGAGCAAATAGATATTCTTGGATGTATGTACGAACTCACTAGGCGATCGTTGCAAACTTTCGTTCGAGTGTTGCTTGTTTACTTCCACTGGGCATTGGTTGTGTGAAACACATATACATGCCAGCAGCGCGGAGGCAATAATACATCTGCCTTTCCGCACTCCCGCATGCGGCAGAAGTTGTCGTGAGCGCTCAAGACTGCTGGGTTGAGTTGTAGTTCCACCCTGTGTTAGGGCACTCCAGGGAGCCTTTGGCTGGTGCTGCTGCTCAACTCTCCGCGTGTTCGTTCGGCACCACCTAGAGCATGGAGACGGTGAGTTGGTTGAGGAACTAAGTGACAGCACAAGGAATAGTTGACACATGATATCACCTAGAATAGAATGCGAAATGTTTGGGTCTTCATGGTTCTAAGGAGGCAAATACTGCTAAATCACTAAATGTGTTCCAACATTAAGGTGCATCGTTCAGGTTCTGCTGCCGACAGAAGTGTTTGCAGCCTGTAGATGTTTGTGAGGGATATCTTCGTGCAGAAGATCCTCAGAAACCCATTCAGCCTGCCGTTCTCCTAACATAATACTATAGCATATTCTCGCCTTCTTTGGCCTCTATAGTTTAATTCATGCTTGTTGAAGAACTCGGTTGCATCCATTTGGAGTGTGGCACGAAGGCATTCTTGCATCATTGCTGGTAAAATTGAGTGGTATTTCGATAGTCCCATGAACCATTTTAGGGAACCAGCATTAATCATGTGATGACATCTCCAAGTTGAGGGTGCGTGAAGGATGTTAGCTAGCGCCCTGACCCGAGCATGAACAGCAACCGGTCCTACACAGTGCTACAGTAATTTCGTCGGATGTTCCCTCTCCGACTCTCTTCAAACGTCTTGTGAATGTACCCAAACCAAGTGACCTAAGGTGAGAGTAATTGCTGATCGTCGTTTGCTGTACTTTGTGGCCATGAGGCGGGCACTCATGCTGAGCTTTCTACGTCGACCTAGATTCCATAGTGGTTTCCGAGTGAAGGGGAATCCAATACGAATTCCTATGTGATATCAGTCCAGATTCGTTCGGAAACCGGACGGTTCTTCGTAAGTCCTACTTGGAAGTGATCGGTTTCTCCTGCTGGTGCCAATGTAAATACGTGATGAGAACGTATTCCTCCGCTAAGGAGCTCACCCGAAGCAACTAATATGGAATCACTGCTCTCTCCACTATTGTATTGACACCTCCGTGGCCTGGCTAAGCATATTCGTGCATTTGCCTAAAATGTGAGTATGAAGTGAAGCTGGACTGTGCAATTGTCGAAGTCCACGCTGCTTCTGGTACCATTAGATGACTTCGTCAATGTTGTAGTGTTTCACTGGTTGCCTACTGCTTAGCACAAAGATAAACGCAGGGGCACGAGCTTCTAAGGAGTAGAATAAACGCAGTTATGAAAGAAATGAGAATTATCACCCTCCAAAGCAGTAGCAGAGCACAGTCCTTAGCCAGTAGAGGAGCAGGAGGATGCGGCTTGGCACATGCTGGTGATGGCGTGATACGCTTTACCGTGAAGTCGTACTGCATGAGCCTCCAGAGACAACGAAGAGCTCGTTCACTGCTGAATATTTTAAACAGATTATTAATCCTTTGTCCACGTGGCGAGGGGTTTTCAACAGTGAAGCGCGTGGCAAATGGCCCAGTGGACCGGGCAGTGGTCTGCATCGTACTGGGAACTCCTGCTCCCTCCCCGTGAAACCTTGTGGCTTGAAGGAGAGGATTTTATGACTTTTCAGAGTTCTGGCTTAGCGTCAATCCAACTGCTGCGTCACTGGCATCGCTTGCTAAGAAAAACGGCTTGTTGAAATCAGGGAGCATGAGTACTGCAAACGGCCTCAGGTTTCGGATGAGGCTGCTGGTAGCTGTATCATCACACTCTCAGTTGCTAATCGCTTTTCATTAGGTCCCCTAGGAAAGGGGTGATTTCGGCAAGGCCACAACTGAAGTTGGAATAGTACAAAGCAAGACAGCAGAAGTTCTGAAAAGACGTGCAAGTGCAGAACGGTAGCGGCTAGCTCCGAATCACCTGTCTACGCAGGTTCTGATTCAGCTGCCACTGCCGGCAGCAAGATACCCTAATATGCTAGTTGTTTGTACACAAAACGAACACTCGTGTGCACCTTCGAATCATCTCTCCTAAGGTAGCCATCGTGCTGACCGTTGCCGGTGCTTTCAGATATCCTGCATTTTCCGGCAGAACACAGGTATCTCACTCATGGGTAAAGCCATCCATCCCCTATTAATGGGGCACGAGAGGTTTTGATTGCTCTGTCGCTGTAACTCTGCACCAGCATTCACCACAATAAAAAGCACGCCTGTGTTCTCCAACTTGCAAGTGTAAGCATGCAGAGCACGCTTGTGCCTGTCATCGGGATGAATTGGAAACTGCAAAAACGAATCAGCGAAATCTAATGGGGAGTATACTGCTTAAACCTTCGAAAGGCCGAGCAGCCCGTCAATCCAGTCCATCGGGAACTTCTGTTACACCTTGACGGTGCTTTCGAATGATCCTCTACACTCGGTTCTCTTTGGGGGACTGCTTGCACTCCACCAACCGTGGAAGATGCAAACGGGGTTGAGAGCTCTCGAACGTGCATACCTTCACGTCGTCCCGTCACGTGCATCTTAATGATGTCGTCAGGCAAGCGCAGCTTCACCCGCAACGCGCTTGTACGCAACCCACTGCGCCATCAACGGCATGCAAAGGAGCCTGTCATGGTGAACCGGTACAACGTAAAAACGCCGCCTGCTGTGGCAATATTACCCATTTATTGCTCTCGCAATTTGCCCCCATACGATTGCCGATTCACATGGCTACCATCCGCCAAGTTTAGCAGCAGACATTGCGCCAAGGGATGAACCGGAAGATCAGCTCTCGTCGTGGCACATCAGGGGCACTTCTTGTCTTGTCCTGTGTTAAATGAAACTAGCAACTGCCGTCCACCCGGATAAACACATACACTTAACTCGGATGGGCCTTAGAATGCGGCGGGTGTCTATGGTGGCCCCATTACTGAGCCAGACATTCAGTGGAGAGCCAGGAATTTCCCTGTTCAATTGCCTGGCGGCGCTTCGCGAAGTCTTTCTTGTCCATGTGCTCCACTGTTTAGGCTTTTTTTGTTGCCAAAGCAGCAGGTGCGCCACTCGATACTTCCTCCCATCCACCTGAGTGTTGGCTTTCCCATCTCGTGACGTTTTACCTGTTTTCGTCTTTTTCTCCTCTCGGTATGGGACTACCCCAACACTCATTGGTTCTATCGGGCTGTTTCCAGTCCGGCCCCCTTCCTTCCTTGCCAGGGATGCCAGTAGGCCGTTTTGCATTTCTGTGATGCTTCTCGATGCATCTGTGCGGTGTTGAGATGCCCACCAATTAGTGTTCACTTCGCTGCCCAGGAGGTTTCCCGTTGCCGTTCTCCCGGCAACAGCCCTGCAACGAACCATAAATACTGTTGATTTGTGTTCACCAGTGATTGGTTTCTTGTGATATTACGCTCTACAATTTCTTCACCTGCTCAATCGTGGTCAACTCTGCCAAAGGCTTTTCCCGCGCGGACCGATGAATGGACCTACATCGCAGCGCGTGATGGAAAACTTCCATATTCTAGATGCGCTCCGGAAAAATCAGTGCCCTTGCGTAGACTCAGCTATCATTGTTGCTTCCCTTTCTAATAACAACTGTAGTTCTTCTTTGGTTTGTTTGACAGGAAAATAAAGGCCTGGAGAGGCGTTGAACTACTCCAGTGCCCCTAAAACCCGGCGACCCATCATGTGGGTGGTCGGCGAAAACGGAGCCCTCATCAAAAGTGTTTGCCGTAAGAATATTTTAGTTTGGATGGGAAGCAGCAATTGCGTTCGGTTCAACTTTACGTGACTCAAGAAAGTCGGTGGACTCCCGACAGAGGGCAGGTCCTGATCAAACCTTTTTGTGCTGAGACATGACGAAGTTCTTGGGAGAGTTCGAACAGAATCATTTTTGTATGGATACTTTGAAGCCCATTTGGTACTACTCACGACTACGCAGCGGGTGGCCCTGATGTGGAGGTGAGGTTTGGTATTCGTGCCTGCATCGAGGTAGCTGCCGTATTAGCACATGTAACGGGGGTCCTGGATCTTATCGTTTGACTGCTGTGACATCCAAGGAACAAGCTCAGCATACTGTAGACGAGGGTCCCTTAAAATCAGTTGATCTACTTCCCACAGTATCTAGGCGTCATGAGCGTAACAACTCAAGCACCTGGAGCTGCGGGAGGGGAGGCAGCCTGCCATGGTGCAATGCACTTTCCTGCAGGAGAGCCCCACATTAAAACGCGACCAATGCCGTCGCTGTATGTGCTGACACTGTAGACAGCTGTTGAGAGGTTTTTGCATGCCTAATACTTGTCTATTGTGGCCAGGAGAAGATTGTTGTGCCCACTTGCCAACATCGCTAACTATGCTATAATGCTATAGAGGGAGCTGCACGGGTAACCTCTCTAGCAAGCTGCAGCCGCCGCATCTTCTTTGCTGCTACTTTGACCTTTAGGCATATGTACAGTTTTGCCTTGTGCAGGCTTGATTTGCCACTAGAATAAGTTGCCAAGATCAGAACAGGGATAGGCCTCTGCGCATTCGCAGCCGGGCAGCCATCCTGCCCCCACGGTATGCAAACGAACAAGCAGATGCGTGAAGATGCTGCAACGATGATAGGCTGAAGTTGAAGGAGAATGTCACATAAACGCTGTTTAATCATTAAGCTGGTCGAACCATGCAATAAAAGATGGTTCTCAGCTCCACACTTGCTGCATGCTACTGGCCGCTGTTTGCCGCGGGCGGGGACACTGCCACCGTCCCGCGGACGAGGGCCGCGTGTCAGTTCCAGCTGGCAAACGCAACAGCCGTGAGCAAGCGTAGAGTGTCAGGTGATTGGCACGAGGTCATCCAAATATTTGTGTTTATTAACTAAGCAAAAATTTTAGTCCCGTTGGAGCTGGGTCTCTCCATTTCCAACCTCAGTGCTTCGCTCAGCGCAGCGTGGCCACTGATTGCATCTTTGTCGGCTACCTGGCTGAGGTGTCTGGTGGTCGTCGAAGGATATATGACTCTTTTTTAGGAAAGAGTACTGTGAATTTACAGTGTGCTCCATTCTACATCCAACTTATTTGCCCTGTCTACCGCGTTTCGCCGCTTCCACTGCCCCGGCCACTGACCGGATGCTGTGCACTCGCCACCGCGCAGGCTTCTTAGTGATTCTTCGTCGATAAAGTGCGTTTGCAGCTAGCTCGAGACTTCTGCCTCTAATTTACACAGCTTCGGCGGAATCTGTGACACTTATTGAGTGGCGCTTTCACTTAACCCTACACGCGGCCACGTGGGCGTGGTAGGCCAGTACTAGCACATGGGTGAAATATAATTAGGCTAAAGCCCGTACCGTTGGAGGCACTGACGATTGCTTCTCTCTCTTTGCAAGGCTTCGATTCGTCTTTGAGGTCTTTGTGGCGTATTCGTCCTGTACATGTACTCCCAGACAAGTGATCCCTAGGCGATATAAATGCAAACAAGCCCACCGGCTGGAATGGAAGGGGAAGCAAAGATGACAGAATCCAGGCCACGGAAGTCCGAACAGGCATTGGCCACACTGCGAGCTTGGCGTGCGTGGCGTTCGAAACACCGAATGCCGCTGGAGGAGGCGCTGAAAAACCCTGGAGCGTGGCGCCTGTACAAGGAAATGCTGCAGCACAACGGTACTGCCAAAGCTGACGTCAACAGCTACGAAGAATGGCTTGAAGTGACGAAATGTACTCAGCGTTGGGTTGAATGGAAGCGAGCGCATCCCAAGCCTCTAAGGGAAGTTCTGGCAGACCCGGAAGGGTGGGCACTCTTCTACGCGATGAAGCAGGAGAAGGGTGTTACTGTGCCTCCAACTTACGAAGAGTGGTTACAGCATCAAGACCAAAGAAGAAGCATGGCGTATGAAGCCTGGGTGCAGTGGCGGCGCCAGCATCCAGGTCCCCTTACAGAAGTCCTTGCGGACCCAGAGGGATGGGCACTATACAAAGCGAAGCGCGCATCGCAAGACACAAAATTGCCAGAAACTCATGAGGAATGGTGCAGAGACCCTAGCACTATCAAAGCAATGGCAATGGAAGCCTGGACGACGTGGAGGAGAGCACACCCAGGCGCTCTGCGGAAGGTATTAGCGGACCCTGCGGGCTACCAGCTGTACAAACACATGCTGGAGTCGTCGGGAAAGCAAGCGGATCCAACATACGAGGAGTGGAAGGAAAGGAGAACAAATTCATCTTGGCAAGCGTGGCGCCGCGAACACCCGGGCCCTTTAGTCCGCGTGCTGGCGGATCCTTGCGGCTGGCGGTTGTACAGATGTGACCTCGAGCAGCAGCAGCAGAAGACCGGGGGTAAGGAAAAGCTGCCCGAAAGCTACGAAGAGTGGCTTCAGCTTCCGCAGCAGCAGCGAAATGCGGGAAAAAAGGACAAACAGCTGTCTGGCAGCAGCGAATCCGAGTCAAAAAGAGGCACCATGGCAACTAATAAGAACAGAACAACTGGGAACGGCCCACAGAAAGGTAAGCAACAAAGTGCGGCAATGGATGCCTGGCTGTCTTGGTTGGGGAGGCAGCATTCCACTGACCTCAATGAGCTTTTGCAGAATCCCGAGGGCTGGGAACTGTACAGAGCTGCCATGAGCAAACCCAGGCGCCCCCTCCCCGAGACGTACGATGGTTTCAGAGCTCTCGAGGCAGCATCAAAAGCATGGTCGGCTTGGCGTGAGGAGCACCACGGCAGCCCCGTAAACGTGCTAAAAGATCCTGAAGGCTGGAAGCTTTATTCTGCCCTCATGCACGCTAGAGGTGTGCAGATACCCGCAACATATGCGGAGTGGTTGCAGATGCCGGAGCAGCGTGTAATCGTGGCGGCAACGGAGTGGGTCCGGTGGAGGGAGCAACGGTTGCAGCAGCCGTTTATGCAGTTGCTAAGCGCAGAGGAAGAGGGGTGGAAGCTATTCCGGGCGTTTGTAGAAGCTATAGGTACGCATCTTCCAGCAACATTCAAGGAGTGGGAGCCAGGAGCGGCTGAGTCTTTGGCGGGAGCTCAGGCTGCCTGGCGGTCATCGGCCCGCTGGGGTGCGCCTCGGCGGATTGAAGTGTTCGCTCTGAGGCGGGCTTTGGCTGAAGTTCGGGGTGAGGAGTTTCCTGCCACCTATGAGGAATGGCTACGGACGCCCAGCTCTCGGCTGCGTAGTAGCCAAACAAATTCGTGGAAGTTATGGAGGAGGCGTCATCCAGGGCCCCTCGCAGAAGTGCTGAAGGACCCAGAAGGCTGGGAACTGTACGTAAAGAAGCTGCAGTCATCCGGTTCCCATGTGCCGGCCTCCTATGATGAGTGGATGGATTCGCCCCAGAGGAGGCGCCAGGAAGCAACAATGAACTGGGCTTTGTGGCGCAGGAAAAACAGAGGGCCGATGCTGGAAGTGCTGCAGGACCCCGAGGGGTGGAAACTGTACAGTGCGATGAAACAGGCAATTAGCGGCTCCTCGTGCGAGCAGTTCGAGGAGTGGCAGAATTCAATAGGGGCCCGCAAGAAGGCATTGCGGGAGTGGCTAGCGTGGAAGAAACTTCACCCTGGCCCTCGTTACACGATTCTTAGTGACCCTCTAGGTTGGCGGCTCTACCGTGCAGCATTCGCTGGTCACAAAACTATTCCAGAAACTTACGCGGAGTATATTCAATCCCGACAGCCCACCATAGAGTGGCTCGCATGGCGCCGTCAGCATCCGGGCCCGCTGTTGTCCGTGCTGGCTGAGGACGGCGGCTGGACTCTGTACAAGGATCACATGTTGGCTACAGGCAAATCCGTTCCTCAGGACTTCGAGGAGTGGGCCGAAAGCCACCGCACGGCAACCAGCAATGGCAACTCCAGACGCGGGAAACGTACAGTCTCCCCTCGTGAGGAGGCAATAGGAGCACAGCAGGTTACTGTGCAGTAAGTTTATTGATGATGAGGCAGGAAACTTCACTCGCGCAGGGCATTGTGTGTGCGCATCAAGTGCGCTACCCATCTCCATCCCCAAAGCCCCGCTTGAAAACACCGTACAGTGTGGAAGGGAGCCTCCTTACCTCTAAACGGATTCATGCGATGTGCCTGAAGATAGGGCATGTTTATTAGGTGCTGACCGCGCAAAGCGGGCGGCTGTTGTTTGCCGTGTAGAAGGCAATCAAGTACGCGGTGTGCAGTGGCTATGTTGCGTTCTATGCAGTAATATAGTTATTGTGCAGTGTTGGCAGCTGGCCAGGAGTCTTGAGCCGCTGATTCGGATATCCTTGGGATAGGCCAAGCCTTCTGCAACGCGCCAGGTCGCTGCGCGCATTTCCCATTCGCGCTTCCGCACTTTTGTAAGCCTCGCCTATTTGTGACTGTGGAAGCTGTGCTACTTGTGGAGGCCGCTGTTACCTCCTGTAAGCCGTAAGATTCATTGGCTTCTGCACGTCGTTGTTGGCTACGTCTAGCCGCATGCCACTGTGTGTATTTATTTCCGGTTTTCTCGTGCGGAAGTCATAAGTGAAGTAGCATCTGGGCTGCTACATACTAACTAAGCCAGCATGTCCGAGGGGCCCGGTTGGTCCTTCGCATCATGCAGCGGTTACGAACATTAGTCTCAGGTTTCTTTTATTGTGCGCATTATAGTTGTGTAACCTATGTTGTGGGAGGGCTCATTGACGAACACATGTTTCAAGCAACCTCTGTGTGGTAGCGCTCTGCAGCATTGGTGCGTGAGTAGAATGTTGTCCACGACAGGACACGCAGCTTATCTACGGGCTACTTCTATTTTACTCAAGGGTCACTATCGTCTTGAACTTCGTAGGCAAGCCTTTCAAGGCTCTCTCCTGTTACTTAAACTGGCGCCTCGAAGGCAGCTGTGACTTTGTGAAATGAACTATTATTAGTAGCACTTAGATTGCGCTTCCCATACGGATTGGGGACGGATGCGCCTTCCTGCGGCGAATTCGCAGTGTCCAACTAAATGGCAGCTGCATGCTCCTCTACGGAGTGTCGGCTGGATGATGGAGGCAAATACCATTTACATGTTCTAGAGCTGCCGTAATTGGTCCAGTATTGCACTCATTAAAATGCAGAGGCACATGGGACACGGGTCAGATGCCACTGATTGCGCGCAATACCCTCCTCCCTACGCATGCACTTGATATACTGAGTAATCCAGGGTCAAATACAGACCGAGGGACAGACAAGAATAGTAGAGGCCGTACAAGGGCGAATTCGTTGTTTGGCTATTCTGCCGGACAATGCCTCCCGCCCTGTGACCATTGGTCCACGCACATATAAATATCCCGTTTCGCGGGGGCTAAATCTTTCCTCATACTAGACATAAGGAAACTGAATAGTATAGTGATCAGCATGTAGAAGCAATATCCCCACAACAGCATGCTTTCACGCCTTCCGGACCTGTGGGACCCCGGAGGGCCCTGAGATTGTATTGGTCTGCACCTTGGTGCCCCACCCTTTCAATAGCATAATTGTCTACTTTATTGTTGCGCGTACTTCCTTTATATCCATTTTTTGATATATCCTCAAGAACAACTCCCCTGCTGGCACAAGGTGTGCCTGGTCGTCGATCGTGGTCACCAAAGCACGGCCGGTGGGAGCACCTATGCAGAGGAACTTCGCAACATTGGAACATTGACTTGTGGCTGCTATATGAAGCCTTATTCACTGTTAAGCGTAAGATGTGGGAGGTAGGCCCGAAACTTTGGTTGTATGGGGCGTGTGCGCGTGCGTTGCCGCAGCCAATCTGATGTTTGCATCTGGAAGGAGTCTGACGAACGCAGACATGAAACACCTGTGCACTAGCCCGCTTGCGTTTTCGTATTGGCGCAGAAATGGGCTCCCAGTGCGCGCGCCCTTCTCCGGGGACCCCGACACGCGGCCTTCTCATCCGCGTGGGCAGCGCGGTGAGAGAGCCCGGTTACCGGGAGGCCCAATCACCCGTGGTCAGTTCTAACGGGTCGCCTTATGAGGAGTCTGATTGCGATTCGATTGGCAGTGGACCGGTTACCAGCAGCGACAGTAATTCATCAAATGGCGTCGTGCCGTTGGAACCGTTGTCACCATGGATTTTCAAAGATAGCTATTTTTCCGCTCCTTTGTGGCATGCACCAAATCGTGTGGGACGGAGCTCTGAAACGACTTCAGGGGTAAGTAGCCCAAAATGTCGGAGAACTAAAAGTAGGCTACTGACGCATTCGCTGCCAGATCGCATCGATCCTGAAGATGCTCGGTCGCGCCTCCCGCTAGAACTGCCTAGCAGGGATGCTTCTGCTGCTGTTGCCTCAAGTCGTCTGCAGTGTGCTGCACATCCCAACTGCAAACCACTGGGCCCCTGTTCGAGACAATCAGATGACTTTGTATCGGCTGCGAACCCGCCAACCCCAGACCCACAGACAAAATTAGATGAAGCAACCAAGAGGATGTTTCTGGATTTCTACCACAGGAACCGCAAAGAACAGAGACGGTGCGGCCCCTAGAAGTATACCGGCTACCTGAGACTTTCATGGATGCTTAAGACTTGTTGTCGTCACGTTAGAGATACCAGCACGAGACATTATTTCCTGTGCGGTACACGGCGCGAACTCGATGAAGTGCATGAGACTGCTCATATTTCACAGGTGATCGTTGTGCTGCTGTGTGCAAATACATTCGTAGTCATGAAGAGGTTCTCAAAGCTGCTTCGCGAGTTGTTGACCGTTCAATTGAAAGTTGTCCGCCATTCGTTTCGGCGGTATCCCTCGAGGCAATTCAGGATCAGAACCCCCAAAGCCCTGTCCCGGCAGATGCACTTGCAAGACAGGAGGCAGAGGCACTGGCAGTTGAAGCCCTGGACGTATTTAGCCCGGATGAAAAGTACACTCGTCTAGATGAGTTCCTGGCCCTCGTCAATGCAATTCAGTGAGCCAGCACGGAGATTGCGGTGTGCGACGCTGCAGTTCAGACGAGAGCACTACATATTGCCTAGTGTATCGCTTGCGCCAGTGGTGGAGGGCAAGGGATGCCACTAGCTCAGTTCAGCGGCTTTGAAGCCAAACATGAAGATACACTGGTCTGCAGATCCATTTATTGTCGGGTGTACTCCTCCCTCTGCAGAAACGAATACCAGTCGGAGAGGCATCGAGGCCGGGCCGTCCGAGGCCCGAATCGCGCCTCAACATTCGGCGCATTGCGGACCCCACCGGAAGGAGACTGAATAAAGGACTGAAGAACTTAAGCGCAAATGCAGGTGGCAGTGGCCTGACTAGCCAAAGGCCCGCTAGTTGTTTTCCTCAGGGTCATCCCACTAGTTACCGTAAACTAGTGGAAAGCGAGAGATAATGTAGCAGCAAGCTGGTAGTGGGGTTCCGGTAGCGCCACACATGCCACAGTTTGGGAGCGCCGTAGACCCGATGCCACAAGCGCTGCAGCTCCGTATGCAATGCGAACGAGTGCGTTTGCTCTGTGCTACAGACGATATAAGATTGTTATTCAAAGCTGTTGAGCTCTTTCGATGCTCGGCATCTGTGGCAGTTCCTCATTACAGCACCTGCTCGGGTTGTTAGTAGGAAGCATCAAAACCACGCAATTGCATGCATGGTGCCTTCCGTGTACGTGCTAGGGCTACCCGCCATTCCTGCTGACAGATTACGACTGTGGTGCGCGACGGCCGAGTACAGCCTAGGCTTGCTAGTTACAACACGGCTGTAAACAACACTTTAGAGTGAAGGAACCGTCAATCCTCATCCGCTAGATGCCCCCGAGTTGCGAATATTCACGTCCCCTGCGATGGCTGTAGTTGTCACTTCAGACTAGCTGTGGCCTAGCTCATCACTACTTAGGCTCATCACTACTTAGAACCCAAAACCCTTCATTCCTGCAAACCAAAGTATGTGAGAGTGCCCCATATTTGAACACTCAACTGTCCGCTTGGCCCCAACAGGAGGGCACCACAAAAGGCAAGCTATAAAGCTCTAGGCAACGAAGTTCCCGTAACATGCATCCGCGCATGCGTATGACACAGCATGCAGCACATAGCTTTGCAAGGTTGCCCGCTTCCGCGGCAACGGAAAGTTGTATAATTTTCGGAGTCGCAGCCTCGTCGCACAACTCCAATACAAGCAAGTAGCACTTGCCCCGTCAACATCCCTTCGGTACCAGCTTAGTTGGGATTTCCCTGAAGTACCGGTGCAGAGGCATCTGGCCGAGGTGACTGGGCTGGGGTGTCATTGCCCCCCCACAGACGACGCAGACATCTATAGGCAAGCTTCAGAAGGCGGACGAAGACGCCACGGATGGTAAACGCAAAAAACGCGGTGAAAAGGACAAGCAAGAGAGAGGAGAACGGGGTGAAATCGTCTGGGAAGGCAATGCGGTGGTACCAGCAAACGCAAAGGATGACAAACACTGTCACCCCGAGAACAACAACAGACCAGTCGCCATTTTCCTGATCATCTTCACCTACAAAAAGGCCAAGCGACAGCAACCCGATCATACTGCTCCGCATGTATCCCGTGTAAGCAACTACAAACCGCACTACCCACTCAAGTGCAGGTGTGCGTGCAGGCAACTGAAGCGTTGCTGCCAAGGAGTCAAGCCGCTGTAGCAGTACCACCGGCACCGGCCGCAACGCTGGTAGCTGAAGGGGCAAAGCCAGGCAGAGATCCCAACCCACCAGTGTTGTTGCAGCCACCCGGTCCACTGCCTCTAGCGTTTGGTGGACGGTTTGAAAGAACAGCATGGAGCGTGACCAATGTGACACTGTCAGCATCCGGTGGAGATGAAGTCGCGCAGGCGCCGGCGGCAGCTGCCCGTGCAGGCACACGCAGGTTAGAATCCAGAGTGTCGTTGTCCGCCAACTCCCGACCCAAGAAGATCACGCGCACGCTGAGCCCTGCGATATAACACTAAAGCAGCACGAAACCTACAGCATCGACCACGAACAGTGGACCGCCGTACACTGCGAAACGAAACGAAATCATCTGAAGCCTCCGGTGTGCAACACTTTGAAAGATGTCGGTACCTCTCGCGATTTCTTGTGCAAAAACAATGTTTTTGATCTCCCCGATTGTTGAGTTCGCATCCAACAAGGAATCTGAAGAGTCATCCACTTGACACAGAGACGCGTCACCCCAGTCCTCCCAGTGTACCGTGCAAGCGGTATTTCGGTCTCTTTCAAACACCGCAGACCGCTCAAAGCTCTGTGCATTTCTGTGATAAAGTGAACTGCCCTTGCACGGAAACGTGTAGGCGGTGTTTCCTTACCGGTGAATGTCACAGGCTCCCCTGCACAGTTCACCACCCATTTGACGCGCACCTTCTCCCCCGCCATTGCTTGAGAACTCCAAGCCTTCGTTACAACGTCTTGAATTTGTTCTCAGCGGTTCTGTTGCAGGCTTTCCTTCGAAATGGCACTTGCGAACTGCCTCAACCAAAGCATACCTCGGTCGGATGGCCGCCGACAATCAATCAAGGGGCAGTCTCTCGAAGGCAAAAGCTGAATAGAAACTTCCTACATCCCACTGTAGTGCTTCTCATACCACGGGTTGCAATACAGCTATGCAATGCCAGGGCGGACGGACGCAGGTGGTGAAAATGCCCAACCCAAACTAAGATCAGCGCTTCGTTCAGGCTGGTAAGCACTGGACTGCAACACCTTCACACTAGAGTCCATGGAGTTCCAACGAACACGTGGCAAGCACAAATACTCCCTTACACACCAAGAAGTGTGAAGGCGGGTACAACGAGATACTGCCTGACAGCTGAAGCCGCTTTGGCGAGCGCAACAGCAAGAAGCAAATCTGAAAGCGAAGGCTTCCCCAAACAGTCACTTTCCTTGTGTTTTCCTGTGGCTACTTTCGGTAATACAACGCAAATAAAGTGGTTGGTTCCATGCAGTCAGTCCGACCATATCTCAGCCCCGCAAGTGCCACATGCACCGGCCAACCCCCGGTGCCCCTGGGTAACCCTTTGTGAGCCAAAGACACTGCTCACCAATCTTTTAAAAGTAATTCCAATCACTAATGTTAAGGGAAACATTAGTGAAGTCGCCGAGAAGAGCTTCTTATCTGGCTGTCGCTTGCAGCCTTTTGGCGACGCACAGAGACGTATTTGCGACGCGGTGGATTACTGCAATAAACCTTTCGAACAAATCTTCCGAAAAGTCGAGTGAGCAATGGTGCTCACACACATATATGGGCGTGTCCGGTTTAGCGAGTTAGTTCCCATGACGTACTTGGAGAAGATGCCTCAAGCAACTGGGGGTGAAATCCATAGAAAATAGCCAGTAGCCGTAACTATAACAAGCCGTCAGCAATACCCCTTATACGCGGATTTGTATGCAGCAATCGTTGTTATTGACGTTGCTTGCTAGTTTGGGAGCGGAATGGACTCTTTGCCACGAAGTGTTTCCACCTAACAGCTGGTGAAGGGGGCTACACTACAGCAAGTGGTGTTCGAAGATTTGGACGATGCCTCGTTTGGTACACGAATGGTGCATGAGCGCAGCTTGAATAAGACTGTTTTTAGAGAATTATTACTAGCTTAGTCAGCAAAGTGTACTTCGGTCGCTAGTCGATCAACCTATCCATCCCCTGAGCGGTTGGCTCAGGTACAATTAGAACTCATTTTGCAGGAAACAGGAGATCAGTCGTGCCAGAAAGCAAGCGGCAGATGACACCTTAAGGATATATTCGAGCTAGATTTACTCCGCTGATGCGTCGGTTCATGCACAACCGCTTACTTGTTGAAAGAAGCGGTCGTGCAGGCTCGAGGACGGTCACTTCAAGACAGTGGCCATTTTCTCGCTTTACATTCCCGCAAACAGAAACAACCACTGATGTTTATATTCCCACGGAAGCCAACCCAGGCTGCTCAGAATCCCGTCTGCCTGCTCCTCCTCTCGCGTAGTGATGGAGGGAAGTCTCGTTTGGCGGCAGCGAGCCGCTAGAGGAGAAGATGCGGGTGTTACGCTGTGGAGTGTCGCGTGCAGCCCTGACGGCTCTCGCCTTGTGTTAGGGGTAGGGCTCTGCGTGCTTCTCGTTGACGCTGAGTCGGGAGACACGCTGCAGACACTTGCTGGCCACAAGGGTAATGTGAACGTCATCGCTTACGCTTCCAATGGAAAACAATTCGCTTCAGGTTAGGACAGCCACACCTGTTCTTGCATATTTCGTCTGAAACCCACAGCAGCCTTTGGAAAACCACAAGTCAATTCTTGGACTGCTTGGATATATCTTTCCCCGTGCACGCATATTGCTGCCAGTTAAATTTCCGACTACTCTGATATGTCCAGCCATATCCAAAAATGCTGACCGCTACTCTGTGGTTCAGTGTGCTTTTCTTTCCCTTGACCCTCATGCATCTTTAGGAGGAGCCGACAGGAAAGTCATACTGTGGTCTCCAACAGGAGATATCTTAAGGCAATTCACGCATTCGGGAAGTGTTCAGGCGCTTGCATTCAACCCTCGAACGCTGATTCTCGCCAGTGGCACGACAGAAGAACTCAGCTTGTGGAATGCCGATGGTTGTAGCGGATTAGCTGAGGAGGAAGTTAATTGTCAGGGGAGTAGGTCAGGCTTCATTGGCTCTAAGTCGTGGGGGATGAGTCATTGCGCCAGTAGCAGCAACAGGAATTCAGGCAAAGCTTCCAGTAGTCTCAGCAACGCGATTGCTGTCAGTTTGGGGTTGGCCGGCGCCAATAGTGACCTCAAATCCAGCCAGGGTTCCTCTAACCTTCAGCAAGGCGACCGAATCAAAGTAGGCCCCCGCACGTGCGTACTTTCGTGGGATGACGATGGTCAACATCTTGCTGCAGGTAAGCAATGAATAAAGCGATATGCTCAATCGGTTAGGAGGGCACCTATGCCTCTACTGAGCAGCGAATATCCATGGTTGGCTTGTAGCTGTTGAATGTTCTAGTCTAAAATTGTATCCCAAAAGTAATGCTGGACATCAGACTATTGAATGTACGGCAGGTCAGTATAACGGATTTCTTGTGGTAAGTGACAGCGATGGTTCGAAGTTATGGGAGCACCAGTTGGATGCCCCCGTGTGGGCGTTAGCGTGGCGACCAAACACTTCTGGAAAGGCAGCATGTCGGGGCAGAACTCTCGTGGCCTGCACTTTCGAGCCGAGAGTGTGGGTGCTCGATGCTGATGCGGAAACCGCATTACGGTCCACACAACTTGTGTACGACCCCCTCCACGTCGAGTTTGATCCTAAAGGTGCGCTTTACGCTCCCTCTAGTTTCCCTAACAGTTAGCTTATTCAGGTGAAGATGCGCAGGTTTCACCTTTCCGTTGTTATATTGTTCACGTAACTTTATCATGGTGGATTTTGCCTGCACACTACGTATCTGTATGCATCCGAATAAGCAATTGGCGTATCTCGTGAGAAACGCATGGCAGAGCAAGGCGTCATCCATGCCCGACTCCAGAGGTTGATGATACACACCTGTAAATGTAAACGGCGAAAGGTGGCTTCAGGTTAAATCTGTAATCACCTACATGCAAAAGATAATATATGCTTTGTACCATGTCACGTTTGCGGATGCCTAACGCAGGCGAGTACTTTCTTTTGGTTGGCGTGGACGGCGGCCTTTCTTTGTGGAGTTATATGGGCATATGCCTGCAGCCTCTGCAAGTTTCAGCTGAGACGCCAGAGGTGACAGCATGTTGCTTTCTTCCTTCTGGCCCGAGGATTGCCTTCACCACGAGGCAGGGAGACCTGGGGATAGCTCAGCTAAGGTTACCTGTAGTTCACGGTCTTTATCGTGAAATGTATGCTCGGCGAACAGCCCTTTGCGAGGTTGCTGTTCGCAACCTACTCACCGACATGACGACCACCATTCAGTACGGAAAGCGACAACTCTTTTCTCACATGGAATGTATCCGCGCTGCGTATTGGATATTTATGAGTGCATGTTGTTTCGCGTCCACAAAGCACTCACAAAGTAAAATCCGGTTGCCATCATGTTTGCCATTACGAACCAACATGAATGAATAAACTGCAAGCATAGAGATAAACTCCTTTTCAAGAATGTATTTGGAGGATTTGGCGTACAGCAGAGAAGGCCAGTAAAGGATGGCACTCCACAGCGAGTGTCATAGGTGCTTCTTTCTGTATTTGGGAGTTATGTGCAGGTTTGACGAGCTTGTTTACAAGATAGCAGTCTATAAACTTTTGCTTGCTGTCCAGCTTAGGGAGTGTCTTATAATAGCAGAGGTCTTTTCGGAGGATTCTGGCTCTTTGCAGTACCGTGAAGTCCGCCGCCTCACGGGATCATTTGAGTGTTCGCTGATGCTTTTGACCGCAAGTGCCGTTGTACTGTGCAGAGGCAACACTCTCAAGCTTCACGAATTTGAAGGTATAGCACAACACCCCTGCAGGCAGGAAGATGCTTGTCTCGACACAACGGAAGTCTCATTCACTACAGGTTTTCCCGCTTGGTGTTGCGTTCAAACGTGAAGGCGGTAGCCACCTTCAATGCTTATTAATTATGTTTTTCTTGACTTTCCGTCTTTTGGTGTGCACCTAAATGCATTAGGGAGAATTGACTCCTGAGTGCATGGCCTCATTCCTTCAGGGAAAGCACAGAGACAGTGGACGCTACGGGCTTCCGTTCGTTACATTAGAGTGCTTGGAGGCCCACCTGGGGCAGAGGCGTTGTTGGTTGGTCTTAGAAATGGAGAGGCACTCTACGTATACGTACATCAGGAGCTGCCAGTGCCTCTTTTGCAGCATCGCATTGGCATCGTATGCATGGACGTCTCAGCCGAACGCAATAGCCTTGCAATCATAGACGAGGAGAAGGAACTTAATATTTACAACCTGCCCAGTAAGTGCCGGTCATATTCCCAGCAAGAGTGTACTTCTGTCGCTTGGCATGCATCGATGGACGACTTATTAGCGGTTACCGGCACCAGGACTCTTTTTATAAAGGCAGGTAAGCTGACGAAAGAATGCCGCTGGGTTCTTTGCTATAGCAAAGCAATGCAGGTATGACCGTTGGCTACCCGACGAATTTGAGAGCATCCTGCCCCTCCCTGTGCTGAAATGCGCCATACATATCTGCGTAGGATCCTTGGCTCCTCAGCAACAGTTTTGTCAAGGCATCGTAGTTGGGTTTCTGGAATCGTACGCATTTTGCCTGCATTGTCGCGAAATGCTGAGGCTAAAAGTTAATCACACAGTGTCCATAAAACGGCTGAAGGAAGACGGCAAGCTTGAAAAAGCTTATTCGCTTGCATGCCTAGGGGCAACTCGCGACGAGTGGAAGCAACTGGCGCTCGAATGCTTGCAGAGAGGCGACCTCCACCTTTCGCGCAAATCGTTTCAACATCAAAAGAACTTCAGGGCTATATCTATGTTGAACCAGATGCAATTAGAGCTAAACCTGTTGGACTTGAACCCAGATAAGCACCGGCATGTTTGCAAAGCCTATGCTTACGCGTATGTCGGGGACTTTACAGCCGCAGCAGATGAGTGGGTCGCTGCCGGAATGCCTCAACGGGCTTCTGAGATGTTCGCTGACTTGCGGAGGTATGCACCCAATACGAAGTCATTTTCAGTGAGGCACATTGCTCGGCTTTTCATACCTACTGAACTGCGGTGGCTATCCCTAAGCTTGATGTGACTGGCCGAGCTTCAGATGGACGGAAGCAAGGCGTTGGGCCGAGGTCGCTGAGCAGGATCAGACGTTTGCCTTAACCTCAGAGGAGCCCATGAAAGCTGTTGAAAAGCAGTCTTTGAAGGAGGAAGAAGAGCTAGAACGCAACGAAAAGCGGAGCGAAAAAGGGCCCACAGCCTCACCAGAGCAGGTGCCGTAAAGACTTCTGTTGCACGGTTGTCTGCTTGACTTCACCCCTGCGCCCCTGCATGTAAAGGCGATTTCCAGAATACGGGTTCGTAACATCTGTCAAATACAGCCGCAGTTGTTCGCAGGGAAAACAGGAGAAGCCAGACCTAGGACAGGAATACACCGAAGCTGCAGCCCTTTATGCCACTACGGGCCAACTGAACCGAGCCTGCCAACTCCTTGAAAAGATCGGGGAGACCCACACCCTGGTCGAACTCATGAGAAGCTGTAGAGCTCCCGGAGTAGCACCTTCAGGCCAGAACTATGGACCAAATAACGTGCAGTTGCACCAGCAACTGCTTGAAGGGGGGGACAAAACATTCGAAGATTGTGAAACTGCGGCAGCTCTACGCTGTGCTGCTCGTGCTTTTGAAAAACGTGGCCAGGTCACCTTTGCCAAGGAGGCCTTGCTGGTCCTTGGAGACAAAGAGGGACTAATAAATGTACTCATGCGTGCTGGACGGTGGGAAGAAGCCCTTTCCAGAGCGGAACAAGTGAGTACGACTCATCCTGCAGGCGACCCACAAAATTGAGCACAAGCTGCTGCCCGCAGGAGCCCAGAAACGCATACTCCCGGATTCATGTAGTTTATAGGGAACTGCCTAACACGCCTAGCTACCCAGTTACTGTTTTGCGCCCTTTTATGGGATTATCCAAACGGGGTGCTGCAGGCCCCCGAAATCCTGCACCACGTGAATGTAACGTGGGGTCACGAGCTCCTCCTACACGATCAGCCCGAATTAGCTATTAGTGCCTTCCGGCGGGCGGGCAGGGAAGATCTATCTTTAAGGACGGAGATGGCGCTACTCGAAAGCGCAATCTCGCAGAAATTGTATGCCCAGGCTGCCGCGAGGAGCTGGGCCATTGCGCGGGCCTTCGCTAATTTGGCAACTTCAGCTGAGAGGGAAAGAAGCCACGCAACAGCTGCGAGTGCCTGCAACAAAGCAGTCAACGATCACCAATCACTGAGTAAAAATGCCATAAGGAAGGTACCGGTGTGTGTCTATCGGTTTCTCGTTTGCTACTTTCGGCGACTCTCTGAGATATACGGCGTATACTTCGTATTGGTGCGCCAGGCATCATCTGTGCCGCCGAAGGCTGAGATGCCACCCCATGCAATCCTCAGGGGATGCACATTCCTGTGGTCACATGCACTGGCGCCTTTGGGGCAGGCGCTTCATCTCAACCTTGCTACAGCAATGGCAAACAGCGGACCTACTTTCCAAGGAAATAAGGAACCACAGTTGCATGTCAACCCATCAGGAACCAGTTTGGGGGCTTTGCCGAATTGGCGGCTGCCGCCATGGTGGGATGATGCTCAGGTTGCGCTTGAAGCGGATGAAGTGCAGACGCACCTGCGCTCTTGTGGAATCCGCGTCAGTCGGCGAGTAAAGGGCATTCGATCACACCTCGTCTTGCGTCTGATGATAGATGCGGCACTCCAACTGAGCGACTTTCAGGTTTGAGCTCACGCGGGAATCGTGCCTCCGCTTGGAGGATTATGTTATCTTCTATGGACTCACGGCAGCAAACTCCCACTGTCATGGAGCCTTCCTTTCAGACCTATCACAACAGAGGCACAAGAGTACCACAAGAAGAACCCGCACATTTTCATATACTTGTATTCTGGAATCGTTTCATCTGCTTCGTATGCGTGCAGACAGCTGTCGCAGCCTGCAAGGAACTGCGGCGACTTGCGCTGAAAGGCCCTGAACATCGGGAGAGAGAAGAGCTGGAGTTGAAGGTGAAGGCAACCCAAGTGTCTCACGTGACCGACAACAATATTCCTGATGCTTGTGGAGCCTTGAGGGGGGCTGCCTGTGGCTTATGCGGGAATATTGTGCCTCTATTGACATCTGAAGCCGTGCCACTAGGTGCTGACTTGAGCTGCGGAAGTTGCGGAAACCCGATTATGCTGGAGTTCGGTACATTCGCACCAATTACAGCAATTGAGTTCTCCATGTGCGGCATTCCAGGACCGGCAGAGAAAAGCTTTGGGGATGTTTCGCCGCCACCGGCTAAAGAGACAGTTTCAGAAAAGCTTTTCCTGGCGGCCGCCAGGAAGGGCCTGCTGCATATACGTGCAGCAGCACCCTACACCAAGAAGTGTTCCTTTGGCCCTCTAGAATTCAAACCTCCTGCGTTAAATCCAGATATCTTGCTTCAGCAACCCCCCGAAAAAGTTTTGAGGCGCATGAACAATTACCTAGAGGGCACGTCTGGCTCCCGCACCATAAGGCTGCTTCGACTGCCTCAAGCGGAGGCAGAACAAGAAATATTTGTTGCCTCCTCAGTGGCAACGGGTGCACTACAACTTCCTGCAACACTCATGGCGTGCGGCTCATGCTCTCACTTGTTTATTCACCCACCAGCACACAAGGCGCTCTTGCGGGAAGGCGTGTGCACCTTATGCTCCACCAAAGGCTCTTTTGCTCCGATCATCCGATGCCATGCACTTAAATTTGGGCAGCATTGAAGTGAGGCCCGCTTCAGTAGCACTGTGGATACGACGGCGACTTCATGCCTTCTGAAATGTGGCGTTAGTCAGCACTGGCCAGCAGTGACTGGACACCAAACTAAGCAAATTTCGCATTTCAGCATCATCTGTTGCTGACATAATACTCCACCTATTGTAGAATCCGATACATATCTGCGAATTGATGGATATCTGCTGCTTTGCGGAATGGTCGCACTATACCGCCATGCCACTGGACTTCCCTGATCCCTGGCAGCTGCTCGTTGAACTGACTTTCCTGCTCCAAAGAGGAAACGGAGTAGAACTAAACAGACTCCAGAAGAGCAACTATCACCGAGCCACTCCGTAGTCAGAAGACTTGCGGCAGAGAGCATCATGTCATGCAACCGCCAACCCATTTCAATCTTAGCGAGTGTTCGAGGTACACAGCCGCCAAACGTGTCAGCCAAATGCGCCCAATAACCCTGAGTAAGTACATTTCCGAGACTGCCTGGGCCTGCATGATGTAGGCGACCGCGCTCACGCAATCGCGAGTTTGTCTGGAGTTAAAGCCAGACGTTTCCAGCCGTTGATGCTACGATGCACCAAGAGCAACGACACAATCAGCTCAAAGTGACGTTTATAACTAGCAAGCAGCCTGGTGAAATCGCTCATAGCGAGCCTTCCCAGGCAATGGAAGCACGCATCCTTGCTCGTATTTAGTGTGCAGGAGCAACTACAATGAATCGACTGTGCCGAACATTTAACTCGAGGCATGCAGCTAGTTTGCAGCCGAGAGTAGGCCTAGACTCTGTGAACTACTGGCTCCGAACCGGGTTCTTACTGCAACGTAAACTGCATGGTTAATCCTCCGCTCCGAGCACGAAAGAATACACAACCACACTCCAGTTATAAATCACCGTACCTGCGTTCCCCCAGAGACTGCGCTGCCAAACTGTTCTTACCTTTTGCACCAACTCTCATGCAAAGCACCAAACGGTGAAGCCTCTACGTGTGATGCCTCCCACTAAGAGCAATTTTCCAGGCAATTTTCCAGGAATTATAAGCAAAGAACGCTTCATTCTTCCCTCCTTGTTTGCGAAGGTACCCTCCGTTCACTCCACCGTTAGTATTCCATTTAGCACAACTAGAAGGCCCAAAGTGAGGCTGCACAGGAAAGGTTGTGTAGCAGAATCCCATACACGGCAATCAGAGGGCTCTCGCTTGCTCGGCTTGCTACCGCAGGAGCCCTGATAGCCATTGGGATCGGCAGCCACTTTTGGGGTCTGAAAACTGTGACGTGGCTTGGGCATGTGATGTGTAGCTGGTGCCAAGAAAAACTAACTCGGACACTGGATCAAAACACAGCACTGGACTGTCAACGTCAAAGTTCACCGCCCCCAAAGTAACTGGCTATCTAGAGCCCCTTCCCCTCCCCCCGCCTCTGCCTCTGCCTCTCCCACCTCCGCGACCCCTTCGGATCGGAGAGACCCCTCCTCGAGAGCGCCCTCCGGAATGTGGCATTACTGAAGAGCCACCTGGGGATTCCGCAGCACATCTGATCCCAGGTCGAGCTTCTGCGTTCATCTGACTCCCCTTGACTGGAGGAAGCTGAGGAGCGGCAGTTTCATTAGAATTGTTAGTATTAACGTACTGCTCGCTGGCACACAGAAGAGCAGTTGCAGCAGTGCTATTTGATTGCTCTGCATCAACCCTAATCAAGTCAAACAGACTACAAGTCACTGGCCCCCCAGAAGGCTTAAGATAATCTGTAAGATCTTCATCGCGCTCGCGCCGTCCGCGTCTGCCGCTGCCGCCCCTTCCTCTTTTTTTCTCAGTGATGACCTTGCCAGCACCCAAGCTGTTAGGATCTACTTTTCCGAGTTGCCTCAGCCGGTCACACTTCAGATCTGCAGCATCTGGCTTTATCAACAGCGAACGGGGCTGCTGTTCCGCAGACGCTTCCTGCGGCAAGTCTGTCGGCGACACTGCCTCGCGCTTGAGTTCATCCCGCGGTAGAGCTTGTGCTTGAGGCTGCAGTGCCTTACTTGCATTTTCACTAAGCTCTACATGCTGAACTTTTGCAGAAAAGGAGAAAGGAACGAACTTTGGAGGGCCAGTGTCCGCCTTATCCGCTTTTATCCGTTCGTGGAGCTCACTGTGCTCTTTCAGGATATATTGAACGAACTTCCGGCGTCCTTGTATGTCCTCTTTGAGGTTAAAAGCTTCCCGCAGCTGTTTTGCCCCTCCTGCAAGGTTCTTTACGTTTTGGGGAGTGAGCAAAGCCATTCCACGGTACATTATCAGCCCTGGCAGAAGCAGCAATTTGACGCCCGGCAATAGGGGTACTGAATCAAGCTGCTGACAAAATCCAAGCTCCACAGCTTTAAATGATACACCACGACCATCTGTCAGCCTCAGGAGAAGCGTCCGCCGCTGATTCCCCTTGATGCCCTGTGCACCGTCAGAAAAGTCCTCCTCGACGTCCTTTGTAGGCAGCCGCACGTCTTGGAAGGATAAAACCATGCAGAGCAATGGCTTCTTGAGCGTGTAATTGCAGATCGGAGATCCAACATTCGTTGAAGGAGCATTCTGAGCAGCCCATGCCGCTACCTCCGGAGGAGCCTGCATGGACTTGCTGTGGAGTGCGCTGAAGTTATTCAAGTCGGCGGGATGTGGGGCCAAGTGAAGACGCCTCAGGTCGGCAGACAAAACATAATCCCTAACATCTGTTGGGCTGCAAACGCCTGATTGTCTTAATGCCGCCAGACCTTCGGTTGTAAAATCTACTCCCCATGGCGCCAGCACTGACAGGATATCCCCGGCATCCATAGTGTGAGTAAGTGGAAGTTGCCGTCTGCCCCCAAAGAAATGAGGCCAGACGGGCCTTGACGGATGGAGTTACTATGTTGCAATTCTAAGAAAGCACAACGTTCTGCGGACAAAGGCACAGGCGGTGCCAACTCTTCAACGATTTTGCACAGCGAGCTAAGAGTCAGCCGATGTCTGTAAAGTGTCAGAAATACATTTCCACGCTATACAGAAGAAGTCCCTGCCCAACGGAGGCAAGAAGTAGCCATACACTTCCAGTTTAGGCAGATGAATACAAAAAAGTCTCAACTGACGACTGCAGGGGCACGATGGGGGCTACCCTCTGGCGCTTGAAAGAATGAAAAAGCATACGCACATATCAGTTTAAACACACCAAATGATTCCCACAAGAAGCAATGAAACAGACGATTATCCAGGAAAAGAGGTACAGGCAAGCCATCGCTACAGCCCTGCATGCGCAGGCAAACCGCCCAATTTGTATCAACCCCGTCTCTACATGCGGAAAAATTGTTGTTTCTAGCTGTCTTAACTATGAGCCACTGTTGGTCCGTCCGTTAGGTGTGTTTACGCTCCCTACAGAGGGCAGCGACCGGATCCGGTGCCTGACGTTTTCGCTTATCGTGCATGCGTGAAACGTCAACGGGGAGCTAGGGGTTGCGGTGACCTGATTCGATTATCAAGTGGTTTTATTTCCATTTGTCAACAGAAGCAATCTGAATATTTGTAGTTCCCAACTACACGCACGAGGAGGACAATGACTGCGCGTCTTCCCCACCGGACTGCATCCGGGGACTTAGAATTGCAGGACAATGAAACGATCGGATTCCGGGTTCCCCACGCGTCAATATTCATTAGCGGAAAGGACGCTGGTGAGTTACCAGCCGGACTTCACAGATTCCTGCCGGAGACTGTTTGCTTCAAAACCATGCCAGTTGCAATTTGAACGGAGCCACGTGATGCGAGGTCGTACGAACTGCGAAGGTGGATTTATGTGGAATATGTATGAATTTCAGGCCGTGGCGAACTATTCATTACTTCTCAGCGCGTTGCCTGGCTCTCCGACGTCGGTGCCAGTTTCGCCCTAAACTACGTCAGCATCGTACTACACGCACTTTCAACTGACCCCCGTGCGTAAATTCCCAATTTTACGGCAAACCCGTGTACTTCAGATGCCCGATATATTTGGCACCGTGGTAGAAAGGTTTTCGTGGAGGGACACTTTGCATATGACTTTGTGCCTGTGTTCCTTGCAGAGGCGTGTGATAGGCCATGTCTGTACTGCCAGATAAAAGGGGAAGCTCTAGCAGACCTGTCTAATGGGAATCCTGTCAGCAGCTCGACCTCAGACTCTGCCTGTATGCCTGAAGAGGCGGAAGAGTGTGCAGATGATGACGCAATGGTCGAGCTGAAATTCGTGCCAGATGACCCCAGGTAAGGTAGTTAGAGGATGTGTGACGCCGCATAGTAGTGCATTTTGATACTAATCGTGGAAGTTCCGATGATGGATGCTATTGATTGTATGGGTGCACTACTGCAGTTGCCTGCAACGGCTGTTCACAGTCATGAGCGACATGGCTGCGCTGCATCCCGACCCCGATTCCGCAACTTTAGACGGGGACGAAGATGAGCTCTTTGACGAAGCATCCCTCCGTCGGCAGGTACTGTTTATCACCGGTTTACACAAGACAGAATCGCCGCGTGGCGGCCGACAATTCCTGTGAACCGGTGCTTGTTGGTGTTCTTGCCTGTGAATTAGCATATCCGTAGGGAATCTCGTCTTCTCTCTGTCTCCCTCTCTGTCGCTCTTTCTCTCCGTCTCTCAGTCTCTCTCTCTCTCTCTCTCTCTCTCTCTCTCTCTCTCTCTCTCTCTCTCAG